ATTTTTGGAATAGTGAAACATTCTTTATTTTGAATTAAATTACTTTTCGAGTTCTCCCGAAAAATTGATGAGTACCCGACGTTAGATGATAAAACATTATTTGCGATTGATTTAGATCAAATTTCACTTTTCACGACACACGGTTTCCGAAAATACAAAGTTACAACGCAAAACAATTCGTTTTGTTACATTTATTTTGCGCTCCCCATAAAACACATATATCTTTCGAGTCGCTGTTGAATCCGTTCCTATCGCCCAAGCGCGACACATGCCTAGTGGAGTGTCGGGCGGTATTTAGTCGACGATAAATTAAAAAAAAGTTGCCACCCGTGGTATGTAGGCTATAACGATGATAACTGCAAATTTGGTAACAAAAATGAATTTGTCTAAAGATAGTGCGTGATTGCCACCAGGTAAACACATGTTGATAATACATGAAGCACAACCGGTGTTAGCAAAACGATGTAATTTGCAGACGTTTCGAATTTCTATACAGAAAAACTTCATTAGGGCATGATATGGAAAGGACACAAGTGGATATATATAGAGCAAGAAAAAGAAAAAAATGAAAAAAATTATCATGGCGTCAACTCTAATCTAAAAGAATGATGATAAGATAATATGTATATATAAACAAACTAGCACAAGTTCAAACAAAAAGGGGACTATTTAAACAATGATTTATATACAGGCGGGAAAAGTGTGGTTTCTTTGTCATTCATCGAATTCTTCTCTTTATTTATGTGATAAGATTCGAGAAATAGTCTTCTCCTGTATTGAGTTTCTTTTTCTAGTATCCTGCTGTTTTCCCAGTCGATGCTATGGTTATTAGAAAGGGCGTGTTTCAAAAGGGCCGACTTGTCAATTTTCTTTTGTTTAATATCTCGTAGATGTTCCTTGCTGCGAGTTTCCAGGCTTCCAGTCTCAAGATGTTATTTTATGAGTTTTGCTCGCCGAAGCAATCGATTTCTGTCAAAGGCACTAACATTGAAAAAATATAAAACGATATCATATCAGTCCGATTACCTACATACGCATTAGACATCGGCTACAGCCAGATAGCTAAGGACCACACGCGCCACGATATCGCGTTGGGAGAATACCACGACGCATCACTCAAGCGTAACGAGAGAACTGTCTAACATAAATAAACAAAGCGAAAAAAGCGTGAGCGAACTATATTAAGTTCACCATGCCTAGCTGTAGTCAAGTTGTCTCTGGTGAGTTGCCCATGTGTAGTCCAGTTGTCTGCCTCCCATTTCACATGTCCCGTGACAATGATCTATTCTTCTCCATTCAATTGCAACAGGAATTGAAATACTAAGTAATCCGTGTCATTCCCTTCTCCATTATTGGAACAAAATTAAAAAAATCTCTTCTAAGATATTCACATGCGGTACGGTACGTTAACATACCAATATACCTGTAATGTCAGATGCTTCTTCTTCGCAAGACCAACTAATTCGATTTATCACGGTACAGTATTATAACAGCATATACCACAGTCTAGAAATATATTCACACCAAGCGAAGCAGTGCAGTACGGTTTACCGTACCTTTAGCACAGGGTCGGCCAACCTTTTGGCCGACCGGCCCCACTTAGTTTACTAATAATTGCGCGGGCCACTTAACATGGTAATTATGTTCTAGTTTTGCTACACTGACCAAAAGTTAATGAAAAACAAACAAAACCCTCGCACCAAACTTTCTCAATAATAAGAACAATAAAAAAACGAAGATACACTAAAGTCAACAAAGTTTTTTCTACACGTAGACATTTTAGTGTGAAGTTTGACACTGTTTTTCGCTAACAAGTTTGTCAATATTCGCTGAAAAGGACGATGTAGCAATGTGAAGCGAATTTTCCATATGACTGTCAGAAATTAGTGATCTCACAGGGGATTTAACATGGTTCATCTGTGAAAAAACTTGCTTGTACGAGTACATGCTGCCAAATTATGAGGACATTATAACTGCCATTCTGCCCAAGTGTGTGAGCTACTATTTATGTATCTATATCTTCCAGTTGGTGATGACACTCATGGCTCGTTTGAAAGGGCTAGCAGAGCGCATTTCAGGAAAATGAACAAATTGTTTGTATCAAATCTTCATATTAACTACATCACTCGAAAAATAAAAGTTTTACTCAATTTTATTTTTATTTAATTTCGAAAATACAGCGCGGGCCACTCGAAACTCCTCGGCGGGCCATACCGTTACCGCGGGCCACGAGTCGGACTACCCTGCTTTAGCATCACCGGTAACCTCAAAAAAACTTACAATTTTTGCGTAGCAATTATTTTCAGAATCCGCCTTCACATCGACGTTCGATGGCACGTGATCATGCGTCCGCAGAACGTTCGGTGTCGTCATGGCAAACAAAAAAAATTTTCACAGAGCTAACAGAAATATTTGAAATAAATAAAAATAATAGCCCTCTGAAGAATTTTTTTTTATCTGTAACCACCGAAAATTTCAGAGCAATTGGTCCAGTAATCAAAGAGAAAACCACTAGGTGTCCAAAAACGTGTCAAAGAATAACAACAACATAATATTGAAAAGATACATAGGTCCACTACGTGTCCAATAATTGCGGGTGCAAATGCATATGGGTGCAAACTTGCAAATGTTCCACATTTGAACCCGTGAATTGCACCCAAGACATTTGTACCTACATACATTTGGATCCACCGACATTTGCACCCACAGACATTCCTACCTACAGATTTTATCACCCGCAGACCCATAGACATTTGCATCCGCGTACCTTTGCACCCTCGAACACTTTAAAAATATACCGGGCATTTCAAACTGTGTGATTTATCGAGATTCGGTGTAGTGTAGAAATGTTGCAGGATTGTAGTACATCGGACAAAATGAATTATGTATGGGAAGTATTAGTCAGTCAGTATTTAATGGTATTTTTACAATCATGCTGATCCAAATTTTTTCTCATTTTAGATACTGCACTACAAAAGAAAACGACAATGTTGACAAACGCGGGCGCTAATCCGTGGTGCTATCAGCGCAATACCTGTAAGAATAAAATTGTCCGAAAAGGTATATGAGTAGATAACAGTTGCAGAAAGCTTAGATAGGCTATTCATATTGAAATACTTTAATGGCACTTTTCTGCAATTGAAACTGCTCATCTCTCAACTATGAAGATCTTCTGAGGTTAACGAGATAAATAAAGCTGAGGAATTTGTTTGTTCACTGTATGAAGAAGATAGGAAGAATGTAAATGATACCAAGGCAAGAGAGAGATTAATTATTTTGTCAACCAAAAACAAACAGTCATCAATACGAAAAAAAAACATAACACAAATAAAATAGCTTTGGTATTGACGAGAGCGAGCGATACGACCATGAGGTCAACTCCCATAAAGTCTTTACAAAATTGGCAAACATATGGATTATACTCTCCACCCAACAGTGATTCACTGAAGAAGAATGTTCGAGGGCAAATTACCAGGCAGGACTTCATCACGGTCGTCTAGAAACAAGGTCAATTACTTTCCCACCCATTGACCATGATGGTGTTTGCGGGGTAAATTGATGGTTCTACTTCAAACCACCAAAATCAGTTCTTGAGTTGGCAAACTGCAAGTGTAAGAAAATTAGGTGTCAAAATAATTTATGCACGTGTGCCAAAAACAACCCAAATTGCACAGATTTTTGTATCGACGACAGTACATTTATAGAAGAAAAGTCGATGTTTGAGAGTGAGGATTTCGGAAGCAATTCAGAGGAAGGAAGTTAATTTAACAAATATTGTTTATTATTTTTTTTTCAGACATCTGTTAGTGTCAAAGGTCCTGTTTCTATAAATAATATTCCTTTGTTTCAAATACACGACTACCAAAACTGAAAAAACTAATTGTAAACTGCTTGTCTGAGGAAGTCTGATTTTACGTCACAGAAATACATTTGTGTTAATGTGCAGCAGGGCTCTTGAATTGCATAGTTCTTATGCTGTGTTGTTGTAAACCTATGGTTATTGATTTTCTGGGAAACCCCTAATATTTAATTTCGCATCAGGATTGCGGAACAAGCTGTAATGCGTTCACTATATTCATTTTCATACCAAATTAAAGAATTTAAATAGTTTAGATGTGCATATGAAACTCATTTCTAGGCGTTTTTCAGGGCCTCGTCTCACGGCCTGGTAGGGTGGTTCATGTAACTGCTGGTCGGTTAAGTTTTTCTATCGCGGCGCGGCGGTGTGGCTCAACGGGCTAAGCGTTAGGAATATGCTCGCCACGGCACCTCTAATTACTCTGCGTGGGTTCGCAGGTTCGAATCCCATGCAGGGATGGTTATGTGCGAGAGGATTGCTGGACTCCTCGCCGTCGTTGGGTGGTTCACGTAACCGCTGGTCGATTACGGCTTCCTCCACCACCAAGTCCATGATTCCGAAAACAAACAATATAACTAATCCCATACCCGACTTGGAATGGTAACCGGACGAGAGGCCGTGGTTCGCTATATATGTTTAAGCCGTCTTATCGGTTTTCTTCTCCCCCGGGATAAATATGTAAATCCTATCCTAATCCTATACTGCCAATTCCATGCTTCTAGAACAAAAACTGGCTAACCAATCTCATACCTGGCATGGGCTGGTAACCAGACGAGAGGCCGTGGTTTGCCATATGATTAGGCCGCCTTATCGGCTTTCCTCTCCCAAGAGATGAATACATAAATCCTATTCTCATCCCCGGGATAAATATGTAAAAACAAGAAATTTTCGAAGGTCAAGGGTTGTCGAAGCTAAACATGTTTTCGCTGTAGTGAAAACTGTGTTTTATCTAGTAAACTTCGTTGCTGGGGTTTAGCGTTCAGGCATTTTCAATATTCGGTTTGAATCGCTCACTTCAGTCTTTTTTATTTTATCGTCGACCATCTCAGTATGGAAATACATCGTAAATTGATACCTAAATATAATCAAGTATACTCATAATCAGACTAGTGTTTAGCTCACTGTTCACTGATTTGCCTGTAACCCCGAAACCTGGAAATGTTTTTTTTTAGGTGGACCTGCATTTAGTTACAGATATTCATGGCACAGTAGCTTATTTCAACTCTTATATTACAAAAAGGGAAATAAATATACAAGGATTAACGTTAAAACATTCCTGCATTTTTTCACTCCTCAGATATGATCTTCAATCGTCGCTGGGTGACATATTCACAAAATTTGGTTTGTATCTTCATATTAGCTTTGTAGTATAATTCTATTGTAAAAACATGGCATTTAAACAAACCTAATAGCTTAGTTTCTACATATCCCTTCAATCTTCATGTATCGAGGATCTGTGTACAGGTATAGTATAGATGGGTGGATGCCATTGTTTACTTAGGATAGGATTTACATATTTATCCAGGGGAGAGGAAAGCCGATAATAATAAATACTTCAGTATTTATTGTAGCAGAGAGCAATTACTATTATTATAATAGGCCGACACCATATCTGCAGTTGGGATTAGGTCAGACTAACTTCCTATTCCACTATCTTTGTGCCAGTGGATCTAAATAATGCAAGGATATTGTAGCACGAATAAAGAAGACTATACTCTGATACTACAGTTACTATGTACCCCCTCTTGCCTCAATTATATTTTCATAACATTGTTGTATCAAAATTTCTTTTACTAACAGGAAAAACATGTAGGATAAATTTCTGTGTTCCTAACTTGTAAAAATAAAATGAGAGCTTGCTTAATTGTTTTTTTTAAGAATATTTTCAGAATTTTTAAATTTAAACTTGAAATATTTATCAAGCAGTTTTCCCTATTTAATTCAATTCCCAATAAGAAAAAGAAGGTACATGTTCATTTTTACTTTTTTTGTCATGGAGAAACTAAAAATAAATTCACCCCGATCTATAGTTTATTTGTATTATTTTACAGATTTTGTTTGCCATTGTCGTTCTTGCGTGGAGTTACATTTTATATGCTGGTGTGCTCAATGCTCAAGTTATTCTTCAAAATCGATAAATATCTAAGTAAGAAGAATGTATCACCAGGGACATTCAGATGATCCAAAGACTGGTGGTTTTACATATATAAAAGATGTGAGACCAGGAATGAAAAGTTTGAAAATGAAGATCATGGTTTTACAGGTATGATTCAAAACTGAAATATTCTATGGTCAAGAATAGTTGGGCCACATCACACACAATTCTATCTATTTATTGAAGCATATAATTCCTGTCTGGTTTCTTTTTTATGCTGTGGACAAATATATATGTGGCACTGCTCATTTTCAATGAAACCATTCAGCTATCTTTATTTCAAATAATACTCAATTGTTATAACCATTTATATATGATTATTATTTTCAAAACATCGGGGAGAATATTCATCTAAATGAGAAAAACCCGATCGTCATTGATCCTCTTTACTGGTCGTATGGTGACTTACCCCTTGTCTGTATGTAAGCACTTATTGACGGACTAAATAATGAGCTGTTCAAATTAAAAAGGAAGTATCAAATAAAACTTTCTATAAGTAACTTGCGGCAAAAATATTATAATGTAAACACATACATTTTTGTTTATATAAAGGTCAACAACCCATACAAAACAAAAGATGGAAATGAAGTGAGGTCCTGTAAAGTTGCAGATAAAACTGGCAGTATTAATATTTCTATTTGGGGAGAAGATGGGAACTATGTTCAACCAGGGGATATATTACAACTAACCAGGGGCTATGGAACTTTATTCAAAGGTTGCCTTACATTGTATATGGGTAAAGGTGGTACACTCATAAAAACTGGTGAATTTTGTATGTTATTTAATGAAGTACCAGATCTGAGTGAACCAAATCCTGAATGGATTCAGCAAGCAAAAGACAAAGTTAATCAAGGACCCACAGATCCAAGACTTGGAGGGAAACCTGCAAAGCATGGAAAGACTTGACATGTAGTCTATAGCATTGAGCGCCAGTACGAAAGCATTAAGCATGGTAAATGCGGAAGGGTCAAACAGGACAGCTTAGTAAAAACTGTGTTTGAAAAAAACATCCACAATTACTATATAGTTAGTTGCCTTTTATTTATTACTTTTATATGTCACATATCTGATTCATCATGTAGTCTTTTGTTGACTGCAGAACTTCATACAACTTGCATTAATGGCCTCTCTCTTCCATGGTTGTCAGTTAAGAATTGCATTGAAAATAAAAAATATCTCATTGTGTATTTAGGCTATGAGGCATACAGAAAGCAACGGTGCAGAGGATTCTATTCTGATGCGAGACTAGCTTGTCAATGGGCAACAAAAAATATACCTTTAGATAGGCGGTGCACTGAGATTTCTTGTGATTAGATTCATATAGATACAGTCTCAACTTCGTGTTGCAGGGTAGAGTCACGGCTGTGCAAATGAATTGAAAAACACAATTTACAACATTGATGCAGTGACCCCTATAGACAGCTTGAATCGTATATTCTCGCTTGAAATTACCAGTGTGTTAGTCAGACGAACTTCTTCTCTGCCTTTTATGATCGAGGTCAACACCCTTGTCTTTTTCATGGTGTGTTCTTTTGCGACTTTCTTTCTTTCTCTTCTTTTTTTTCTGCTTTCCAGTCTCTTCTTTTCTGCTATTCTTCTTTTTTCGCTTTTTGTGTGATGATTTTGTTCGTTTATCAGAATCACTGTCATCCTCACTTGATGATGTGTGCGATCTAAAACATATTGATGTATATATCAGGCTTATTATTTCTGCACGTACTTCACTTTGAAACACTATATGACAGTCTGGTGGTGAAAATAAACTGTTCATGATTTCATGTCATTGTCATATGTAATAAAATTTCACAACTTTCCATACCAGAGTGTTCTTGATGTCTTAAAGCTATGTATTTATGTACTTCAGAGAATCCAAAAACACTGACACATATACACTAAATGTGAGCCATAGAAGGATAATATTGATAGTGTGAAAAGTCATGAACATCTATTCTGAATGATTGGGTTTAAGCATGTTCTGTTGGAACTGGGGTCATGAACTGAGTTCTTATTGCTAATGATGACAAGCAGTCAACATTTCTGAAAAAAACTCTAAAAGCGTGGAGCCGAATCAACAACATGGGGGTCTATGCAACAATGCTTTTGCACATCATATTGATGGGAATAATTAGCTATGTAGTGACAAGGATATTTCAATATACAAATGCATACCATCATGTGCTAATCTGATTTTAATTCTGTTGATTGGCATTCAACAGATAAAGGACATCCACTAATTTCATTACAGTGACATAAAACATACGATTTATTTTTTTGGCTTTTCAATTTCTTTCTCTTCTTATGCTTTTTATGTTTGTGGGAGCTACTTTGTTCTTCCCTGGAAAATGTCGGTTTCAACTCATCACTTGATGATGAATCTGAGCTTGTACTGCTCACATCAAGAACAACATCTTTGGCAGCATCCACTTTGACAAAGTTACGACATTCGAATGTCAAATGTCCAGCTGAGGATATAAACTAAAATTAGTAAGCAATTGCCATTTTATCAACTCAACATTTACATTTAATATGGGAGGAAAATTGTAGAATGGGTATATATTTTTTTTAATATTTTTGAGAAATCTGTGCAAACAATTCTTTATTCTCGAAGTTTTCCAAACAGGTGTACGGGCAGACGGGTGGTACATCATGCTAAGCGTTAGGAGTACACTTGCCATCCCGCCTCTGATGTTCAAATCCTGTGCGGGATAATTAGTATGTAAGAAGGATTGCTGGACTCTTCTAGGGTGATTCAAGTTACCACTGGATACGGCTTCATCAAGACTGAAACAATTAACTAACTAAGTAACCCTATACCAGTATACAGCTATATGAGACTATGGAAGATAGATCGTGGTGTGCCGTATGATTGAGCCCTCTTACCAGCCTTCCTCTCCCAATGATAAAGGTGATATGTCGTTCATTATCGATAACTTAAGTCAATATTAGCAAATTTAATACCAAACAAACACTTTACATTCAGACATTAGTTTTGAAATCATGTTTATATCATCTGTAGATTAGGTTCAGAAATTTACTTACGATAACCACATTTTTTGCATCCAGCTCCTGTTCTTTTGTGATTTTGATTCGTCAATCTAGCCACCAAATCTATAAAAAAATAACTTACAGCATTAGGCAGTACCTATGCTTTGATTACGCCACCAACAGATCATAAAGTATCTGAGCTGTTTTCTTTGTCTCTGCTTTGTATAGGTTTTGAGGTCAATTGTAGCAAAGTTAGTCTTCTCTACAATGTGGTTGCGTGTAAAAAGTATTTCATAGAACAAAATAACTTGCCTTCCTCTCTGGATATCATAATTCACAGAGTCAATAACTCCGTCTTTATCCTCACTCCTCGTTCCACAAACCTAAGTGATTGCAGGGGAAAACCCGCCAATAATCCGGTTCGAGGAGTCAGAAAAAATGTTTCGATATCCGATTTCGAAAGCCTAATTCCACTTTTGGTTTTGAAAAAGTATGTCGGTGTCTAAACTAAGGCTTGGCAAATCTTTTTTTAGTTGAATATTCCGAACCGAATTCACCAAATCAAACTTTTTCTTCAGTTCATCCCAGGATACCATATTATTCTGTTATTTTAATTTACTTTGGAAAATCCAGGACATGGTAAAATGGCTTCTTTTTATAACTTATTATTTCCTAGCACACTGTACTTTTATACTTTTATACCTACCTTTCTCTTCTGGCTGAAATACAACCATAATAAGTTTTGTGGAAATGATTTTTATTAATTTTTTTTCAAACTTCATCGCTTTTGACTGAATCCAGAATTAGAAAAAACCTTAGAAGAGCGAGTAATATGATACATAACATAATCACATTTCACCATAACTTGTAGGGTCACATCTTTGCCAGAACAGCCATAGACAACATCTAACACTATCACCCTTGAGTGGTGCATACCATATATGTATACACCCTTCAAACTTGACCATTCCGCCGATTTATAGTATATGGTATCATCACCTAATGGTGTTGTACTTGGTGACCGTACATTTGAACCCACGTACATTTGAATCCATGTGTATATCCACGGGTTCAATCTATATGCGGGTGCTAAAACCCATGGGTTAGGGTTAGTGTGGGTTCAACTATCCGAAAAACAAAAAAAATTCCATAGGTGCAATAGCATACAGGTGTAATTGCAATGGGTTCAAATGTACGTGGGTTCAAATGTAATGGAACCGTTGTACTTACATCCAAATTCTTAATTTTATTACTATATTTACATGCAGGCTGTTTCATGTTGTGTAGGGTCTCTATTTATAGATGTTGTTTTGTCTTACAAACTCCTTTGTACGAATAGTTTTATATACTCCACCCTTACCTCTGTTATCACACCCACCCACCCTCCTTGCACAACTGTATGTTAAAGGACCATATTATACGTATTTCATTTACCTTATTATATTTTATACCAGGGTGGTTCAAACCCAGCTCCATTATCCGTGGCCCGCGTCGCATTTGCGGAAGGGTAATCGAAAAATCGCATTTGGTCTTGTTTCGTCATATAAATAACAGAAAATCTTTTCGACATCTTGCTACATCACTAATGTCACTGAATTGACTGAAGCAACTAGCGAAGTTGAATTGAGTGTGATTGGGTAGTCCAAATTGTTCACTTGCTTTGTATATATTTGGTTGGAAATATATTCCAATAGTTATAATACCTAAATATGACAACTAAATACTAATATTATGGCCTAAGAATATAATTCGTTCCGGTGATGTTTTGCAACCAGCCTAAACAGTATTACAAAAAATGCCTCTAATATTTCAGAAAAATTAGTAATTACTGTCCTGTACCTCACATTTGGTAAAAACAATAAAAGTAGATGTAGCTAAACTTTTGGATGTTTCAGTGATTTTTCTGGCGTATTTTGTATGATTTAGCTTGATAAATGAAAAACAATGATCAATCGTTTGCACAATAAAAGTGTTTGTTGTTTACATATTTCTGACGCTATTGTGGTCCGCGAACAATGCAAAAATAATTTGTGGCCTGCGAAGGCGACAACCTTGGACCACCCTGATTTATACATATATATATATCAAAAGGGGTGTAAGCCGCACATTCGTGTTTTAGGCCAGTATGGTCTTGTGCATACATCCCGTCTTCAGTATTTTTAATTACTAATTCGCTCTTACGAGACGAATAAACATACATGCATACAAATTAATAAATCAATTTCACATCGGTAAATATTAAAAATTTCGGTACCGGTATTCCCGAAGTATATGAACCAAGATTGCGGACACCGGAACGTAGCATGTATATCTGGTTAGGTCTAGGCCATAATTTTATACCAATTTTCCTTATTTTAGTTCTATTACGAGTTCGGGGACTAGCCCAGTGACTCCCGTAGTATTTGTACCTGCAATTATGTAGTGGCGTAGCTATAGGCCTACCCATTGAATTTGTGGATAGGATATGATTTATATATTCATCCCGGGGGAGATGAAAACCGATAAGACGGCTTAACCAGATGGCTAACCACGTCCTTTCGTCCCGTTACCATTCCATGTCGGGTATGGGATTAGTTAGTTATTTGTTTTCGGAAGCATGAACTTGGTGGTGGAGGAAGCCGTAACCGACCAGCGTTTACATGAACCACCCTACGGCGGCGAGGACTCCAGCAATCCTCTCGCACATAACCATCCCTGCATGGGATTCGAACCTGCGAACCCACGCAGAGTAATCAGAGGTGCGGTGGCAAGCGTATTCCTAACGCTTAGCACGAAACGTTTCCAGAACAAAGACAATCACATTAATTTATTCCCAGAGAGACTCAGACTTAAACGACCTAAGTTAACGCTGATCTAAGTGAAGCCAAAAAATTACACAAGTTAAGCATCTAAGTCGAACTAAACTAATTTGCAACTTTTCTTAGATGTGACTGACTATGTGGTATTTGTGATACTCGGTTGTACTTTGTAAGCTATTGCATTGTTCAGTCAATTTAGCTTTTAGCTTTGGTAGTTAGATTAATTTTCAGTTTTTTTCACTTTCGTGAGGAGACAGAAAAGAACCGTCAAGTCATCGAGTCAACTGCCACCTTTACCATCTGTCTGTGGTGGATAGAAGGGATTTAACCGTGTTTCCCCGAAAATAAGACTGGTTCTAATTCCAATTATCTTCCGAAAAATAACACTAGGGCTTATTTTCGGGGGATGTCTTGTTTTTCCATTTATCGAAAACTTTAAAAATTTCAAGGTAAAGAATTACGAGATTTTCGAATATAACAAAATATGAAAACTGATATCCATTTACTTATAAATAACACGTTTTTATTCCAAATAACTACAAAGCATAAATTACCAAACATTTAAAACGTGTAGGAGAGATTTCTTGCTATATCGAATAGGTAAAAAAAAATTCGCGTATTGACTAGGTCATATTTTCGGGGAACACGGTAATCAGCTTTTACGGCGGCATTTTGCGCAAAAATCCAGGTGCGGTATATTGCGTTGCTACGTCACTGCAATTATGGCCTAACCCTAACCTGGTACACATACTACGTTCCGGTGTCCGCCATCTTGGTTCACATACTTCGGGTGTAACAAAATTTTGACCTCAAGTTTTTCCTAAAATAGCATGACTATGACCGTAAATAAATACTAATACTAGGAAGCTAACAAATATCCCAGCTCATCGGCCTGGTTGTATTTCTAGGTACATACCCATTCAAAAGCAAGTGTGATTCGATGCTGTTTTGAATGAATTATGTGCATGTAGATTACGACAAAGTTAAGAGCATATATTTGTATGAGGTTCATTGATCTATATATTTCATATTCACTTTTTGCTAGTTGAAACAAACATATATATATATAGAAATCTTACGCCTTTTAATCGTTTCCCGGATGGTATTTTGAGAATATGCCATTGGTCTATAGATAAATCACAACAGCTGAAATTGTAAAGTATTCATTATTATTTTTTACGTGTTCGTAGTAACCTGTCCTACATGATTTCATTTTTTCCCAATAGTCTCGACATGGCTCAAATTACATTTCTGAATTCAATTCGTCTGCATTTGAAACCTTACAACAAACACATTCGAGTTTTTATACTTGGTGTACCTGTTAAGCTATAAAGCATGTTGGCTGTTGATTGGTGAACGCAGTAAAAGATGATAAATTTACGATTTTAACCAAGATAGTGTTAAAGAACTTGAACAGCTTAATTAATGTTATCTAAGCGGATGACGTGGTTGCGTTTATCTACTTCTAGTTCTTCACGAAGATAGCCTACCATATGCTGCTTAATTTCGATTGTGGCACTCAACTTGAGTTTTTATATATATAACTGTGAAATTCAAAAATCGACTTATGGGTGTGAAAGCAGCTTTACGTAAGGGGCAGAGGCAATTGGAAAAAGTTTAGGAAACACAATAAAAAAAAGAATTTACTGTCGAATACAAAGCATACAATTACACAAGACATAGTCTGAGCATTTGTAGAGAATACACAAAAACCGTTTCTAGTTAGCAAAATCTTTATATCAAATTATTAATTTTTGCCACCAAATGCCTTCAGCAGGAATGTTACAAGCTCTTGCAAAACACAGCTTTACACTTCGCACAATGCTCCTCTTCTCATAAAATACTGATCATAATTCATCAGACCGATGGACCCAGCATCGGTTGAATTATCTATGTAGAGGTTCATTGTTGCATTATTTGTAATCGGATATCCTGTCAGAGTCGGTAGATCTTCAGCAATTGCGCCATTTGACAAAATGACATACCTTCTCTATAATACAAACAAAACAGCCTAACAATTGGGGGTACTCATAAGTCATGAAAAACAGATTGAGTAAAACTATGAATACTACGTGGTATTGTGAATTTACAATTCTAATATTTATTTTATTAAATAATAAGCCGTATCATATCTACATCAATAATATATATGTATATAAAAATATTGGTACTCCTGTAGTGTGTGTACCAGGTTAGGGTCAGTCCATAATTTATTCCGATTTTCCTTGTTTTAGTTCTATTACGAGTTCGGGGACTGTCTGTGTTAGCTAAGTGAATATACCTCCTGTCCACAGGTTCCATTCACTTTACACAACTTGATGTTGAGTAGCCGAAGAAAATTAGTTAATTATCATTGTCATAAATTTACTCTTGATTAAGACTGGCAAGTGATTTATATCACATTGCTTGCTGCAATTCAATAGATATATATACGAGGGTGTGGGATTGGGAATTGAAATCACCTCGGTAATTGCATTGGGCCCCGTCTATTAAAACCGTTCAGCACAAAATCCTAAATAGTATGTTGTGTTAAAGATTTATAAAAATAATAATAAAATAACATACTCTGTGATCCCATCTCATTGCAACCCATACAGTGACATAATTTGTCGGTTCAACGAGAGTGAGAAGATATTTTTTCAATTTTTCAAAATGTTCTATTGAATAAACATTAGCCAGCTTCCATCCTATTTTATGACATAGATTTTTCCCCTCCTCATAATCTACATCTTGCTTTTCGTGCAAGATCGCACGATAGCACTTTTCCTCGTACCGCACAGGACACGTATCTATGGTAAGTAAATTATTCGCAAATAAAAAAGCAATTAGTCAATTATAAAATATATGATAAAAAAGTCATTTATTTGAAAAAAATAAAATAGTATTTAATTTTAGCCAACCTCGAGTGATAGTTTCCGATTCATTGACGTTTTTGTTCAACAATTTTCCAAACCTCTCCTCCATATTGATCAGTTTGTTTTCCAGAAATGTAATTCCTATTAGAATTCCATATAAATTAGATACACATAAGCAATATTGGATACTAATAACCAGGAAAAAGCTTTCCATGCATAAGATAGAATTGCTCAAATATTTGGACCTATCACCGGGCCCACCGTATAGAGCAGGGATCGGGAACCTTTTTGGTGAAGAGAGCCATGAAAAGCACATATTTTCGATTGCATTTCCGTGCGAGCCATATATCTTTTCTTCCCTTAATCAGGCCTGAAAATTTTACTCAAAAGTCAACACATTCTGACACTGCATGTTGTCGCTGAGGGCCTTGAACGGCTGCTCACATGCAGCACAAGTTGAAACCTACGATGCTCCTCATTGTCATCCCCTTCTTATGTATAGGCATCTCCACAGTATTTTAAAAACTAGCTTCGCTAGTCCGATTTACATATGACAAATATTGTAACCAGTACGTACAAACGGACGATGAGCTTTTCTCTATTGCTCTGCGACTTTATCGAATTTTGATGTCACAATATGTTCCAGAATCCCCTAGTTTTGTCACAATGCCTGTCTGGTAATTCTCTCGCATAACATAGACATGCGCTGGGTGCGCGTTCTCAAACTTATTGGCAAATTTGGCTATAAAAGAGTTTGAAATCTCGTAACAATAGTAAGCTCAGCCTTAGAATATTAGGTTTTTCTGGGAGCCATATGCCGTCACCAAAAGAGCCATACATGGCTCGCGAGCCATGGGTTCCCAACCACTGGTATAGAGGTATAGTCTGTAGAGAAATTTCTTGCCAACAACGATCGGCACATTTACATGATGGAAAAATGTTTCTTTGAAACTGAAAAATTCAGCAAAACTAAATCCTGTATAACTTAGTTTGCATTACTAGATTATAAATATTAATGAATTCATACTTTCTGCTAGATCTTCATTGATAATTTCAAAGTCTGCTATTACAGAAGAATCATGTAGCGCCTTCATTACAGCTGGTTCTCCAGGTTTTGACATATCTTCGCATTCGGACGCAAACAGTTCGCTCATTTGCTGACAGAGATGTGTTTTCGTGGCATCGCTAAACTGCCAAAGAGCTGAGAGCAACAGAAGTATACGAGTACATCTATTCATCGCGATTAAGTCTACAAAATTTATAAAGTCGAGAAAATACTTTCAATTATGATTGTTCATGCCTGAATATACGCAAAAAGTGGTCCAATTTGTATATACACAAGCTAACCAGAGCTACATACAATTTTACAATATATATATAGTAAATGCCTGAATACACTGGCGAGCACGTTCACTGAGTGTTTGTAGAAAGTTACAAAAATTGCTATGTTAAAACGCATCTTACGGAATTTACGAAACCGGTATTTTTGCTTAGAAAAACTTCCTTCTAATATATGGTTACCTCGGGCGTTTCCATAACTTTTTTTTTCGTTTACACGGTGTTAACCAGTATTACGATAGTTTATTCAAAAACGTTTATTAGCAATTAACAGGCTTGTCCATGAAACATATTTTTCTGTCCCATTCCATCCCATAGCAATTTATGACTGTCCCGTCCCATCACCTGGGACGTTTACTGTAGGATTCCCACCGACAAACATAGCAATCAAGCACTCATACATATAATAGGCAAATCGCAATATAACTATATATATAGTATCCGAATTCCTAAATTACCATACTCTCCCCTCAGGTCAAAGTTGGATTCAAATACTAAACTCAATTCATTTCAAATCGTAGCAGATTAGGTTTAATATTGAGGTTATACTCCAACCCTTAATAAATATTTTACGGTCAACTCTAGAAATAAATTAAATGAAATCGGGAAAGTCAAGCGATTTACCGTTTTAATCATTAATCTTCACATCGTGTAACTTGAATTTTACTGGTTCAATATAAATAACTAATGGTATTAAATCAACTAATGGTAATAAACATTCACATGCCTAAGGCATCCTAACGCTTTGTATTACGTAGGTCGCATTCTCGCATGTCTCTTTTTTCTGATACTAATGAAATAAAATCATGTAATATTTGATATATATTTCATATCTCTATGATCAAATTAATGGTGTCGACAATCCCTTCTTTCTTCGGCAAATGTTAGATGAAAATGATATTTTATCACCCCAGCGGTTTGCAAAACTGCGCAACTTTGACATAGAGATTACAACATCAGCAATAACTTGTATTCTTTTCTTACATAAACTGCGCTATGCTTTTTGTCGCAAAATGAAATCTTGTCTGATCCCATTCAAAATTTAAAAAGGCATTGTTGGTAAAAATGCCATTTCATCGCTGCACGATTTATTAAATATCAAGTTTCATTTATTTCAATTACTTCTTTGCGGCCCAGACAATATATATACAAACTCAATGATAAAAATGTTGATAACGGATGGTATTTGTTATTTCATGAGATTTTACTCATATATGGTTTTTCGGCATGACATTATCTCGAGGGTTAAGGTATTAATAGAACATCTACAATAATGTATGATTTTGAAAACATGATTCAAAAAGCAATTGAAAAATATTTTCTTGTAAATTGTTTTACAAAAACAACAATGAAATATATTTGCTTTTTAAATCTGTTTGTTATTTTTGGCGTGTACGTACAAAACAGAAATCAAGCATCTATCGATCCATACCAGCTCTAGTACATATCTCTAGGCTTGTCCATGCGAATGGGATTGGATGTGACAGCACACATTTTTATCACGCATGGGACGTACACGTAAGACAAGTGGACTCGTGGGGCAAGCGGGACACGGAAGACGATTGGGGCGATTTTATATAAGATTACGTTTTCTGTACGTCAACAAAATTAACATTATGTTCTGGCGGGCCGATATGGACAAAACTTGGCATGTGAGTCGGGGATGGTGTCAACGTCATTGCGATCGGGTCAGAGAAAGAGGATTTTTGTGTTTTTGTGGCGGGTAGGCTACCTGTCAATCAAGCCATCAATCAAGTTGCACTCGAATGATTTTGTGGTTTGAGGTGGTTTCCGGGGAAGGAGAGCGTTTGATGGTCACTGGGAACTTTTTCAATTAGTTTAGCTGTGGGGACGCGCCCCGAGCCCCGCCCGCTTGGTGTTGACATAGAAGCACGTCGCCGGACGAATTTTCGCGCCACAGATTCGACTCCCCTGGTTGCAACGCAATCTGAATTTTCCTAAATTTTATAACTTTTATTGAAATGTATTACAATGGGAATCCCATGAAATGAATGGGCAGAAAAACATGTCTCATGGACAAGCCTGCGGGTATTTACATCTTGATTTGAGCGATGTTGTCAATAGCTGACTAAAGCACGCTACGAACCAGTGACAATTGAAATAGGGGAAACAATTGATATCCGCTAGATTCTGAGAGGCAGTCGAAAGAATAGTTTTTGTACGAGGGTCGAAGTTTCCATTTATTCTAAGAACTTCCAACATTCCATCAAATAGATAAGATAATTTATTTTTAAATTCGACATGGTACGAAAATGATAGCGGACAAGACTAACACACAGAATGAAATTCACAAAAGATGGCTGAACTCCAATGGACGTTTTGCCGACCCTTGACCTCTGGAAGATTCTCCTTATACTTTATCATTGCTATTTATCATTGCAACGTTGATTCTGAAAGTCTTTTGGATAGTTGGCGCTTACGAACTGGTTCACAAGTTTAAAACTATCATTTTTATTCAAAATAATAAACCACGTGCCGCTTGTAGGTGCTGACGGCTAATTTTAGGCTAATCTATCGCAGCGTTTGCGATATCAATTTTTGTTTATTGTAACTAACTAAAGGTACTCGGAAGACATAATGACAATTAGGGTATTTGATTTACAACTATTTTTGAAAACACAACTAAAAACTGAAGAATAACACGCAAAACTACCAAAAATGGACAATGTTTACAACCACGCTTGAATATTTATCTGAGCGAAAGAAGTGTCTGAACGTCGGCATAAATTCCAATTGTTACGTTATCGTTAACTTATTGCTGATTTGTAATTGTTACAAAAATGACCAGGAAAATTGATACTCGGGGAAACATCTATTGGGATTTAAACATGACACATAAAACAAGAGAGCAACGCTCAAATATATGCCCACGTAGACCAGGGCGAAGCAGTTCTTACCTTTGACGTTACCGGTACCGTACCCTCAAAAAACTTCCGAGTATTTCGTCGCAAGAATTTCCACAATTAGACGACACGCTTAGCGGATTAAAAACCATGTTCCCATAGTTAAAAAGTAACACAGCACAATTTTGAATGAAATATTAGATCTCATAAGATTCATAGAAAATTTAGGAATAAATGAAAATAATAGCCTTTGGCAAAAAATCAATCTTGAACCACTGAAAATTTTAAAGCAATTGGTCCAGTATTCGAAGAGAAAAGCAATTTTTTGATAATAATGATGACGAAAAACAACAACAACAACATAATATTCAAACGATCGTTATGTCCACTGACGTGTCCAATTAATTCAAGGGCAATTTCATCTATTCCAACTATTCCAAACTAAGATTTTCTCATGTAGTGTGAAACATTATTAACAAGAAACACTAAAATCATTGGTTAAAAATATTGATAAAATTGAAACTGCGCAATATGCCAGATTAAATATAAGCAAAACTTTTGTAGACAAGGTCCACCTTTAATGATATAGAGGACTTGCACGGGTCACGTGACCTTGTTTACTGGACGGCAATAAAACAAAAACGTCCATTTGGCTCCTGTCAGTTGCAAGTCGGATTATACGTTTCCGTTTTGTTTGGCTGTTGAAAATGGTTATTTCGTATTGTTCCGCTGGCTGTGCGTATAGTATAGACAACGAAACGGATCTTCAGTTATATTCCACTGTTTTCAAAAGATCCGGAACGTCGCGCAATGTGGATATCATCTATTGGCAAGACTGCTTGGTGTCAAGTCCAGAAGCCATCTCACTTGTGTTTTACTGTTTGCCGACAGCTCTTCGTTGATGGTGAGTCATAATGTGCCGTTATCAATTTTTTTAAATATTCATAAGCTCCCTCATTTCGATGGAAAGCAGATGACAAACTACTGTTATTGGTAGGCCTAGGCGTAGGCCTACCTGCAGACTTGACTCGTGTAAGGTATTAATCAATAATTGCCATAAGGTATTGTTTCCCTAGTTAGCAGGTAATCTATTAGTAAGTGTGAAAAGTTGAATAGATAACTAAAGTTTGAATTCTCCATCTAAGAATACGCTCGCCACCGCATCTCTGATCCCCCTGGGAGTTTCACAGGTTTCAACCCCATGCGGGGATAGTTATGTGCGAGGGGATTGCAGGGAGGGAGAGATTGGATCTCCTCCCACTGAGGGTGGTTCACACGACCGCTGGTCGATTACGACATCCCCCACCATCAAGTCCATGCTTCTAAAACAAATAACTGGCTAACTAATCCCGACATAGAATGGTAATCGTACGATGTTGCACCTTGCAATCTGTCCCCAACCACAGATAAATTCTATCCTAAAAACTACTCACATTGGTAGGCATAGTTGCGTTTCAAATTGAAAGAAATCTTCATTAATGGTCAGAAGGTGTTGTCTGATTGTTTTATTAGTTAGCAGGTAATTTATTACTGATCTGATATACAAACTAGGCACTGTCAAATGATGATTAGTGTTTAATTTATTTTCAGGAAAAAGGGAAGATAACCCATTATCAGCTGCTTATATGTCCCATCGATATTTGAATTTTCGCCATCTCCAGAGTGGAAGAGAATGGTTGGTAAAAGGGGAATTTTGAAGAAAGGCAAAAGGCAGGACCATTTCAACAAATTCTGCTAACTTGTATGCGTTGCAATATTACTTTGCAGTTGCTAGCATAAACATTTAATGTGTCTTTCGACTAGACCTACCACACTTTAAAAGAAGCCGCCTACACCCCTTTTCACTAGAACTATAATACTGTATAATATTTGATAGAAATTACCCCCGAAGCATCATATCTTCCATTTGAAAGGGATGTGGAGGCAGATACATTTTTTACTCTAAATTATGAAATGTTACTTCCAGGTTATCTTATCCTTGCTTATAGATATCTTGAGGTCAGTGACTCCAACTGACCCATGCATGCCACACTGAAAATTCTCTTGTGTACCGATAAAATTAGGCTGTTGGAGCCTTCAGACCTTGAAAACAGTCAAATCTGAGCACGATGGATTCATGTGAAACACGTAATATGCATTTATAGGCAAAAATATCTCATCCTGAGCAGCACCGATCCACAACCTCCTGCCTATGGAATCAAAACATTAGACAAATTGGTGTACTGTGCGCATTCACAAATCTTTGAGAATCAAGTGTGCCTTTTGACTAAAGTGAAATGGTCAATCTCAATATCAACCTAGTATCTGCAGATAAAACCAATTGTTTTTTGAAAATACATTTTTGATGTGCTTTATTTTTCAAATATAATTTATAATTACTGTAAAGTGTGTGATACATTTGGTACCATGAATACCATTTGCAAATTAGCTTGGGTTACACCCCCTCTCAAATAAAAGTTTAGACTCTTAAGTCATATCTCATAATATTCTTTAAACAAAATGTTGCGGCTAGCCGGTTACCCATCAGAATTTTCTTTCAGATCACAAAGTCGCAATATTACGCCTCGCTAAGTTGCATTGACAACTGTATCTAGTTGTAGTATCGGTGTCCAACTTTAGACTGAAACCTTCACTACCAGGCTCACCGAAACAATTTTTTTTCTTGATAGGGTCGTCTTGAAGTTGCTTTCGTTAAAGCACGATGGACACTTTATCTCCACCAATCCACAGTAATCACAAGTTACTTTGTCATTAGGATGTATTATCAAGTCTCGCAAGCTGAGGTCTTGTGCCACTGTGGTCTTGTTGCAACTTATACTTTGCCATCCATCTATTCCATGGTCGCACCCATATCTGTAAGATAATGGATACAGATAGAGTTTTCATAAAATCTAACGATCAAAGAGTGTGGAATTTATGTCCATATCCCACCACAGCCACTAGTCGTAAATGAATTTGATTCCGGGTAGCATATCTTTTTTACCAATGACAATAAAAAGACATTTTTGATCAGTTGTACAAGCACCATTAGGATAGGATTTATCTGGGGGGAGCCAGTTACTTGTTTTCAGAAGCATGGACTTGGATGGTGGGGAATGGTCGTAATCGATCAGCGGTCATGTGAACCTCGGTGGGAGTAGAGCTGCAATCCTCTCGCACATAACTATCCCCGCATGGGATTGAAACCTGTGAAACTACCAGGGTGATCAGAGATGCGTTGGCGAGCGTATTCCTAGATGGCGAATTCAATTGAATTCTGGGTATTTTTTCCAGGCCTCATGGTGTTAAACTTTAGTTATCTATTCAACCTTTCACACTTAATAATAGATTACCTGCTAATTAGGGAAATAATACCTTACACAAGTCAAGTCTGCAAGTGCAGGTAGGCCCACTAATAACAGTAGTTTGTCATCTGCTTTCCATTGAAATGAGGAAGCTTGTGAATATTTGAAGAGTTTGATAACGGCACACTATTACCACATTATCACTCACCATCAACGAAGTGCTGTCGGCAAACAGTGAAACACAAGTGAGATGGCTTCTGGACTTGACACCAACACCAAGCAGTTCTGCCAATAGGCAATAGATGATATCTACATTGCGCGACGTTCCGGATCTTTTGGAATCAGTGGAATATAACTTGAGATCCATTTACGAATACGGAACAATACGAAATAACCATTTTCAACAGCCAAACAAAACGGTAACGTATAATCCGACTTGCAACTGACAGGAGCCAAATGGACGTTTTTGATTTATTGCCGCCCAGTAACAAAGTCACGTGACCCGTGCAAGTCCTCTATACGTATATCCGGATCTAAAACTGCTTTTTGCTTAATTGACACAGCGACTCCGTCTACTGCTACATTCATGTTGTAATTTGGTGGGTTCCTCGGTTCCCACGGTCTTCACGTGTCGCAGTGTTTCTTTTTCTGTGTTTGGTGTTTGCTTTACTGCTCAAGTTTTGAAATGCGGGCATGGAGACGCGAGAAATATGGTGGACGGAATTCGATATACAAGAACGGACTACCGTACAGCCGAAAATGTTTAAAATAGACACAATGTGATCGTTACAAGGGAAAGGCAAGCAGCATAAAGACGACATGAGATCGGTACCGGTACCGCCTACTGGTACCGGTACAAGTGTTGGATCCAGTGAATAAACTTCAAAATGACCAGATTGTGGACCAGATTCATGGTTAAAAAATTCTTGCCAGACTAAAGTAGTATCAGAATTGAGAATATCATTTTCAAAATTTTAATTTTAACTCTAGGTCGATGAAAATTTAGAATCAAACAATTGTGGAAAACAAATTTTAGTAATACTGTAATATTGACATGCAGACGTACGAGGGTCTAGTATAGTTTAGTACCACAAGTACTTCTGTTGTGCGTAGCATAACGAATTTTACATATGTTATTCCTAACCCCCACCTGACTATGTCATCCAAAAACTACGTCACTACGACGTCACAATCACGTCATAGAGCTTGCCCAGTATAGCTACCATCGTCCGGGATGGCATCTGCGCCGACGATACCGAACTCACTAACGCCAGCCCTCTCTTTCATGTCGGGATCGTTGCGACGAGAGAAATAGCTCGATCGATTTTGGTTGATACTTCGTACCGGTATACTTCGGAGATATTTATTACGCCAGTGTGGCGTCGTAGTGACGTACCGTAATTTTTGGTGACATAGTCATGTGGGGGTTAGGAATAACATATGCAAAAATTGTTGAGCCAGGCCAACTAGAAGTGCATGTGGTACTAAACTATACCAAACTCACATACAGTACCAACGTATACAACCCTACTTTCTGTCAGCCTGTCTTTGATAGACTGTTTTGAACACTTTTTTAGTTTCTGCAAAAAAACTTTTCTCTGGTCTTTGATTATCATCATTAAAGTCTAAAATTCTGACTCCAGAGAATTCAAAATTTTGATTTTAGGAAGTTTGAAAATTTGCCAACTTCATAGAAGTGTTCTTATTTTATTCTTCATGTAATGTCATTGAAAACATAAAACACTTGTTAAAATAAGTATGACATTTAATTTTTCAATTCAACAGCATTGTATAGATATAAAAAAAAAATACTAATCTGAAAATGAGCAACGACATTGCAAGCTTTGAAAAATGGAAGGAAAAGAAAAAGAAAAACAAAGAAATGGGTGGCAAAAAGAAAAAGATGTTCGTGAGAAAAAGACAATGGGAAGTCGAAGTTGAAAAAATTAAAGATTTGGAAAAGTTGTATGAAGAGGTGGGTTGCATCTTTTTACATCTTGCCCATTTCACATTTAGGGAATTTATAATCAGTGGTTTGATTTTCATATATTTTATGAGTGTATCTAACTCATTATCTAAACAAAGCCAAGCACCCACTTAGAAATAGAGATTTACAGTGCACTTTATCTGCTCAACAATATGGGACTGAAATTCATTTAAAACCTCACTTTCTGTTTAGGTACCGGTATGAGTTTACCAAAATCTTCAGTAATCTAAGACGCTTTGCATGAAAGTTCTCTCAAGAATATTATGTTCTAATTTACCTAGGTTCCATTTTTGAGTCACACTTTGAGAAATGACTAATTTTTAAATCCCATTAAATGGACAATAATTTAATATTTTATTTGTCAAATTCTGTGAGACCGTATTACCATTTTTGTTTTTAAATATTCTCCAGTTTGATGTTACTAAAGCAGAGACCTTTGAAGAATTTCCTTTGTCTGACAAAACTAAAAAAGGTTTGGAAAAAGCTGGATATTCTAAACCAACAGCGATTCAACAGGCTTCATTTACACCTGCTATCAAAGGCAGGGATATACTTGGTGCTGCAAAAACTGGATCAGGGAAAACACTAGCGTTTTTAATTCCGGTAAATATTTTTAAAAGTTGTGTTATTTCTGTAATTTTTAAGATGCATATTTTAGTATTTTTGCAAACAAGGCTTATTATTACGAAATTATTATTATTGTGAAAACATATGACTTGACGCTAGGTTGTGCCACACAGAAATCATGTGTCGCTAAAAAAAATCAAACTCTCGAATCTGGAGAGAATTTGCTTCCCGACTATTGCGAACTGACAACAAACGAAAAAGGTCAAAGTCTTTGTCTTTGCGTTATTGTGTTTTTTGTTTACTTTCAGTGCTTATGATATTTTTTAATTTTAAATGTGAATAAAAGGGAAAATATTTAAATATATTTATGCTTGATTTTGGCTTATAGAAAAATACCATTATAAATTTTAAAATACAGTTTTATCATAGGCTGTATTTGTATAGTTTATCAACAACGGATCAAGTATCTTCGAGCTTCGAGGTATTCCAGAATATGGCGCGATTTTCATTTATGCACATTAGTTAAAAACACATTATATTTAGAATATTTCCAAATAACTAAATTTCTAATAAAATTTCAGGTACTTGAATGTTTATTCAGACAACGTTGGTCATCCATTGCTGGACCTGGTGCTCTTATCATATCACCCACCAGAGAACTTGCGTACCAGACTTTCGAAGTTCTTAAAAAGGTATATTCATTAACTCCTCTCTAAAAAGTCGATTTTAAAATTGCTAATAGTTTTATAGATATATGAGTTTTCTTTGCATTTGAAAAAAGTCTAAAAAAAAAATGTTGAAACGATTTTTTGTTTGTTTCTTATATGGCGCTTAAGTTAAATGTGTCGCTTCGTCCGAGACCCTGTATAACAGCCACTCATATCTGAAGATAAGTAAAGGGCTATCAATTTTGGAAGAAGCTGGAAACTTCCCAGTTACACCCTGGGTGAGGTGGTAGGCATGGGATTTGAACCAGACATGTTTAACCAGCAAATCCCAGCACATTCAAGTAACACTTTATTTACTGGGCAATCACATCAACAATAATAAATTTGGTGGCTTATGATAATGCCTCAACAACTTCAATGACTTGCAATTTGATCATGATCGTTCCAGCAATTACAGGATAGTACAAATGGTAGTTTAATGATTACAGAATATCATTTTGTTCATTAGATTGGACAATTCCACGATTTCTCTGCTGGACTTGTGATCGGTGGAAAAGACGTTAAATCAGAATCATCTCACATGTCACGAACGAATATATTAATATGTACACCTGGTAGATTGTTGCAACATATGGATGAAACTTCCTATTTTGATGCCTCAAATTTACAGGTTTTAGGTAAAATAATTTATTGTGTGATCATTTCTGATGATATTAATGTTTATAAATGATACACTAATACCTCAATTTTTGTTCGACTTGAAAAGGGTCTGATAAGTTATTAATGACAGCTCCATCTCCAATCCAGCATTATTGAATGTTTAATAAGTGCTGTTTATTTTATAACTTGAATCAACTAAGCTGGAATTTAAAGTTTTAGAATGTGCATTTCAGCATTAAAATATTCATGTTACGATTGGTGTTTCCACTTCTCTGCTGACAAGGTCATTGAAGTGATAGAATAACATAATCTCTTTCTACAAAATAACAAGTATTTTAGTGGGCTTTGGTCAGATCATAGTCAATCTTTTCAAACAATACAAGATATAGCTGTATTATTTAAACAGCGATTGTTAACAATGTTGTTCTGGGTTTTGTCCAATATTTGTCAAGATAGCTCAGTTCTCAAATGTTTTTGACTCTTTTTAAACATAACCATTTCATTTCAGTACTTGATGAGGCAGATAGAATACTGGACCTTGGCTTCAAAGCTACACTGAATGCTGTGATTGAAAACCTACCTACAGAGAAACAGACTTTGTTATTTTCTGCTACACAGACCAAGTATATATTATATATTTTCAAAAACAGATTATGTACTGATTCATAAACCAAGAACTATGCTTTGATGACCAATTTCAGTTTTCAGAAATAAAATGAAGACCTCCTTGGTTATGTGTAGCTTAAGTCATTGCCAAATGATTCAAGACGAATAGTCACTGGTATAAAAAAAGAATCATAAATATGATAATGAGAGTGTTCGCAATTAATTGTTCAAAATGTTGATAATTATTGTTGAGTAAGAGAAAGTATAATTTTTCAAATTGGATTTGGTGTGCATTCAATGCATTTTTTATTACTTCTCAGATCAGTAAAAGATTTAGCAAGATTGAGTCTTCGTGATCCAGCTTATGTCTCTGTTCATGAGAAATCAAGAAGCAGTACCCCTGCTGGTAATTTTGGATTAGTTATATAAAGTTCACTTGCAACTAAACTTATATATGTTATTGAAAAAGTCGGTTAGGTAATAGGAATTTCCAAAGTCGTGAGGAAAAATTAAAACAGCTCTTGTAATGAATTCAAATATTTAACTTCGTTAGTAATAATGAATTTGTTATGATTTTAGTCGGACTTGATGTTTGATTTTCATCATGCTTCGCTTTAGGAAGATCTCTGTGAAGGATGGTTATGTGTGAGAGAATTGCCCTTCTCCTCACCACTGCAGGGTTTTTTGCACATTCGCTTTTTGGCTCATTCTATTATCCAAGTCCAAGCGTAAACTGGTTAGCTCTTCCTATATTTGATCTAGACTGGTCATAGGCAGATGTAAGGCCGTGGTTGGCCCTATGATAAGTTATCTAAGTGACTTTTCTCTTCAAATATATCTAAAAAGAATATTATATTTCCCAAAGGCAATAATCACACTTCATAATATCTTTGGGTATCTGTTACATTTCGAACTTCTTAACTATTCTATAATATGAATAATATACCACTATTTTTCATCTTCACCATTCCATTCATACAGGTCTAAATCAAAAATATGTTGTCTGCAAACTTGAAAATAAACTTAATATGTTGTTCTCATTTGTCAAAACTCATCTGAAAACCAAAACGCTGGTTTTCTTAAGCTCTTGTAAACAGGTCAGTATTTTTCATATGTTATAAGAAAATTTTAATATGGAAATTTTCATCATACAAAGTAATAGGTTTCCAGACATGCAAAAATTTGTTATAATTAATGATATGCTACATACTAAATACTATTGTGTTCAATGTTCATACGCATACATATATTCGTGTCCAGAAAATTGATTTCGCCTTAGGAAATCTCGCCGCAGGAAATTTTGCAGTGTAGGAAAATTCGCTGCGTGTGATTTTAGGAGATTTTTCGATGACATATTTCTCATAGATGTTGTGGCCTCTGATTGTGATCACGGATCACCAAAGCTGAATAATTCTGAATGCCTTCTAAATAATATCTTTAAATATGGAATATTGAATATATTGTAAATGTAAATTCTGTAGTAGTCTATGCAAATGAGGAAAGTTACATAAAGAGTGCTTTGATTGGTTCTAGATTTTTTATTTATACCATAGTTTTCAGACATTGAACGAAGGCCTTTTCAGTCATACTGTGAGTCTACATCCTTTCAAAATGAAAATTTTTCGAAAAAAAATATATATTATAATTGTTTATCAGGTATTAGAATCGCTTTGTACACCCTTTTGATTGTTATCATATGGTTCAGGTTCAATATGTCTTTGCTGCATTCTGTAAATTGCGTCCTGGAGTTCCGATCTTGATGCTACATGGTAAAATGAATCAAATGCGGAGGATGGCAGCCTATGATGAGTTCTGTAGAAAACAATTCGCACTTTTATTTTGTACTGATATTGCAGCACGAGGATTGGGTATGACTGAATATTTGTGATTATATTTGACCAATATATTTCCAACCATGCAACCATCCAAATTTGAAGGCTGTTTTAAATGTAAATATAAAAAAAATTATATTGAGTAAAGCTGTCAATATTATGCATTTCAGTTCAATAATGTTGGATTAAACAGATTATATCAGATATTACTTTTTATTAGACTTTCCATCGGTGGATTGGGTGCTACAACTTGATTGTCCAGAAGATGCTGAAACTTACATACATCGGGCTGGTAGAACGGCTCGTTACCACGGTGAGGGACATGCTCTATTAGTTTTATTGGAGTCTGAAGAAGAGGCCATGGTACAACAATTACAAGACAGAAAGGTAATTTGCCAGTTATATTGACATACGACATACACAGTGGCCAGTAAATTGAGTTGCAATATACAATTTATTAATTTCAATCAATTTTATCTATTTTATTATGTTATCTAATTATCAATTTCTTTTTAGGTTCCAATTAGTAAAACTGAAATAAACACTGAAAAATTCACAAATATCAATTCACGTTTGGAATCATTTTGTGCTGCTGATCTTGAACTTAAACAAAGAGCACAGAGGGTTTGTTTTCTATTTTGTATTTATATTTAAGCTCCTGCTATGCTTATGATATAATAGGATTCTTGTCTATACCATTTAAAAGAAATATCAACAAACATAATGAAGCGTCTGAGAAAGGTTTCATCGTACTCAGAGATTGCCCGAATTAAATACCTTATTCACTATTTGAAATAAATTTGGGAATGATATTTAGAATAGGGAGTATTGAATATATTTTATATATAGCTCTGATTCTGAGCTAATAATAATTGGCAGTAACGAAATTAAATAATTTCAACCTGGACAACCAGTGAACAATCCCTTCTATTGGCGGTTCCCAAACTTTTTGTTAATGTGGCGCCAATTAATCAGGGAAAAAACTCACGGTGCACTTACACGATAAAATTGCTGCCTTTAAATAAAACTCTGTTCTGTGATCGTTATTGTGTACTTTCGAAGTTTGTAAACATGTAGGCCTAAAGAATTAAAGCAAAAGATCAACCAATGATTGATTCTTCCTTATCTCTGCGTGATTTTTTCTTTGAAATACTAAAAAAGCACAAGTAGTGTCTACCCTCACTGGTATGTTACAGTCACAGCATTTAAAATAATAAACAGTAAAACATAAATATAATATGTAAAACATTCAATAATATATTAGTAATGTTTAAAACAATTCTGTTAATTTTCGAAGCGCACTCAGCAAATCGTGACCCCACTGCCTGATATAGCCTAGTTATGATTGAATAACAATTCAATAATGGTACATGAAAAATTAGCCATTGCAAGGTAACTTTGCTCCGAGATGATTCTCTTTCATATATTAATTATATAGCGAGTAGGTACACATGATCTTGCTTTAAAAAGAATTCAAAAAATTTATGGACCTACAATGTGGAAATATAGCTGGCAATTGATTTATTGATTATTTCATATTGCAGTGTTTTGTCTCGTATATCCGATCTGTGTTTTTGATGAAGAACAAATCAGTATTCTCTGTTCAATCACTACTTCTTGCTGAATATTCACAATCACTCGGACTTGCAGTCACACCCCGAGTTCGATTCCTACAGAAACATGAAGCAAATAAAAATAAGGTATCCTTGAAGAAATAAAAACTTTTTGGGCATTGGTTTCAAAAAATGATGTCATAAGGTCAGACTGTAGTCTCTACTGTCGAAGTTTTGCATAATTCTTTCGATATTGATGTTGGAGGTGCCACTATAAACTCCTCTGTGTTGAAAAATTAGAATTTTTTGTAGTCAAAATTTCATACTTTTATGGTTACAATCGAAGCTTAACTCAAAGAGCATCAAGCATTCGGGGCAGATAATACAGGAAAGCTTGCATTTGTGACAGCCTTTACTATCAAAATTTTTGTCTTGAAACTAGAGTCAAAAGTGAAAATGTCATGCAACCTGAAGTCAAAAGCCAAATTTAAAATTTTTGTAACCAATATCTGGAGCTGTTTCCAAAAAGGCTTGGAGTTTGAAGTCGGTAGTCTGGTGTAAGTTTTCCATCTCCATGGCGTCATAAAAATGTTGTTCTGTTTCAGAATAAAACAAGTGTTGACGAAAATTCCAATATGATAATATCGAACAATAATCATGAGAAAGAAGCATTTAGTGGACTGGACACAAGTGAAAATGATGTTGGCGATATGTTCCAAGTCAAGAAAAAAGATGTTTTCAACCTTGAAGATGATGATTCGGAGAATGGAGAGAAAGTAAGCTTCGAATATAATTATTTACTTTTATTTTTGGGAGGCATGTTATGTTAAACAGAAAGAGAAATGATAGATTAATTTCAAGTTGAAAATTCAAATAATCTTGTTTTTGAGGAGTACTAAAAATCTGTGTTGAAATTTCTTTTCCAACTCAGGACGGCAAACCATCCAAAGATAAAACGATGACCAATGTTGGTGCCATCAAGAAGCTTTTGAAGAAAAAATACAAATATAATCAAAAGATTCTTTTTGATGAAAAAGGAGAGGTAATATGCTCAATATATATTTATCTTGAGCTGTCTTTTTTTCAATGACTGTTCTTGGCAGGGTTTCGAAATCTGAGCATGCTGTAAATGATACTGGATTTGGAGCCGGATTTGTATTTTTAAACTTTAAACCGGCGTCAAACGTAGTCTTGAATTCTAGACTTCTATTACTAGTGATTTTATTTGTATACGACGCTTATCACACTTTCACTCAGGAATGGCAGCCACTGATATCAGCGATATGAGAGGAGCTACTATTATTTGGAAGGACCAATATCTTTCTTGTTCTTACCCAATTTGGGGACATATAATTTGAACCTGATATTGGTAAACTGCGATGCCGTCACAGTTTAGTCATAATTCCTGATGTAGTCGAGAGCTGGAGTCAGAGTCAATATTATTTTTCACTAGATGTTTAAATTTAAATGGTTTAGAGCAGCGGTTCCCAAACTATGGCTCGCTACTCACTGGTGGGTCGCAAAAGGAATCTTAGTGGGTCGTGAAAAGATGTAGAAAGCTTTGATAAATTTACTGGTTATTAGGATCGGTGGCGACTCGAATACGTAAATCTTAAAAAAAACAAAAGAAATTAAATTGAATTTAAATTCTAATCTGTGAGAGTTTCCTTTTTACGATCTTCTCAAAGGAACAAAAATTTGCTACACCAAGAATGACCATGTGGCTTTTTTACGCATAGCAGTTTTGTACACTGTACAGTAAGTAATTCTTACAGTGTTTCCCGAAATTTAGACAGGATTTAGATTTATTTTTTTGTGAAGAATACCACTATGATTTTTTTTAATTTATTTTAAGGGTAGGGTTTAATTAAAATTATTTTTAAAATTCGAATTAGGTCTTATTTTCAAGCCAGGTCTTATTTTAGGGAAAACAGGGTAGTTTTGCGATAATTAGCCATCGCTGTGTTCTGTGTTTTGTCATGAAAAGTTAAATGGGTCGCCATAAGATGTGGTAATAAATAGTGGGTTATTATTATTATAGTCAAGCCCAATAATTTTAAGTATTTTAATACTGAACAGCCATGAAGTGTTTTCATGCGTTTTCAGCTCGTGCAATAATCAAGAAACGTTTCAGAACCAAAAACATAAGCAATAAAAACATTGGTAAAATTAAATTGTTTTCACTGATCGCTTCGCTGTATTTTGAATATTCTCATATAGATGAATATCTAATGAAATTCAAACTTCATATTTATAAGGATTTAATTTTTTTTCTTCTGAATATGTGTTTATTTACAGCTGGTTGAATCTTGGCCTCCGGTTGATCCAAAAATTTATAGTGAAGAAGGTGTAGCTGATGATGGTAAGAAAGTATTTATATGTAGAAATTTTATAATTTTTGAATAAAAGTCTGTATGAACTGCAAATAGACAAGAGTTTCAATATGAAAAGCGTTGCAATTATTTTGAAGTTTTGAATAGGTTGCTTACTTAGAACCAAAGTTTTTAAAAATAAAAGTTCAAAATAAAATAATTTCGGTTTTCACTTCAAACCTGGTATGTGTTTCAAATCAGCAATTACTTTTATCGGAATTCTATCACATAGCACAAAATTTAAAAACATATTTAGGTTGCACAATATGTGCCAGTTCCCTACAGATTTGAATGCCATTAGGACTATATCTAGTTGAATAATAAATTTAGTCAAATAAAACCTCATAAATTCTCAATGTCTTGTAGACAATTCTGAAGGTCTTGATATTGAAAAAGCCAAAATAGAAATGCAAGAAAGGGATGCTGTGGACAGACAACGACATAAAGAGAAGGTTAAGTTAAAACATCAGGAGAAACGACATAAAGATAAAGAAATGAGACGACAGTTACAGGCGAAAAAAGAAGGGGTGGGTAGACTATTTCTAATATTAAACTTTTTTGGAAATGCCGCTTATTCGAACCATTTGTTTTGAATTTGGCCCTATGCAAGCTGCCACTGATATCTAAGGAGCTAATATTCGAACGGACAGGAATCGTCTCAGTTCTGTATTGCACACCCAATTCTATTACACCCCGGGTGGGGCGGGGACGTGAGATTTAACTTGAGATGTGTCATCTGTGATGCTAACTTAGTTAAGTCTAGCACTTTAACTGCTACTTTATCGGGCATCTATATAGTGTACAATGGTTGGGAAATCCAAGATATTTAAGAGATATTTATTGGGTCAAAAAAATCTATGTGCAAGATTAGGGTCTGAAATCAATTCGGTGAAATTTATACATTTTCATAAATTTTCTGCACTTCCACATACTGGAGGTACAAGTTGACCCAAAAACGGAATCCATACAGAATGTTTACCACACCTAGATTATATTTAATGAACTGTTTTTCAGTATATCAATCCAGTACTTATTCACTAGTTTTACTCTATATTCTGATATGGTGGGTTTTTGTTTTTAAATTTCATTTCTAAATTCTACCATTATAATCAAATTATATACATGATATTCCATTCATCATAATTTTATATAGTATGATGATTATGTTTGTAAATTATTGGAAAAGGAATGGTTGGTTGTAAAACACTTAGCGAGTCATCCAGTCATTTCACATGTCAATATTGTTATGTTTTGAGTACCGGGGTATAATCTAACTAAATCATTTCTACGAATTGAAATGGTATATTTGTATTTAATTGAATATACGAGAATATTATACCAGCCGACATTAAGTATTCATTGAATGCTCTAGTCTAAATCAGGGTTGTGCAATTTTTTTTTCGGTGGTCCCTAAAATCAACAAAACAGCGAAATATATAACACGGCAATAAAAGCCAAAAACATGTATTTTTACCCACGTGAGAGCCTTTTTACACATAAACTGTCACATAGGATTATATGATGGGGCAAATCTAAGTGTTGACAAGGACTGCACTAAATGACTTGGCCCGCGGCGCGTGCCACCTGTTGCACACCCCTGCCACAACTCAAATCTCTTTATGCCATAGTAATGTTTTCTTCATAGGAATCTATTCAAATCATTATCCGAGCAGGTGACCGTACATTTGAACCCATGTGTATATTCGCGGGTTCAATCTATATGCGGGTGCTAAACCCATGGGTTAGGGTTAGTATGGGTTCAAATATCCATAAAACAACAAAAATTTTCATAGGTGCAATAGTGTGCAGGTGCAATTGTCGTGGGTTCAAATGTACTTGGGTTCAAATGTAATGGAACCATCCGAGCCATGTATCCATCCTTATTTCTAACTTAAATTTTTAACATATTTCAGAGATCATATAAAAAAGATGAAGAGGAGGTAGTTGCTCATTTGGGAGATTCTCAACAATACGACAATTCAGAGGATGAAAACAGTGATCTGGCCGAAACATTTAGTGTTGATGCTGATATTGAGGAACAGTTTTCTAGAAAGAGGACTTTGGATGATTTCAATGACAGACAAAATGACTCACCTAAGAAAACAAAATTAAAAACAAACACTTTGTCGGACATGATGATTGATTCAGGGTTTTCTTTAGAAGATGATGAACAATTAGCATTACATTTATTGCGGAAATAAAATGCTGGTCAAGGAAATCACTCAATGCACTGTGTACTGATCCGATTCTTTACATTTTGCATGGATTAGGAATAACACATAACATTACTTATTCATCTTTTTGGAAATTTGTAATGGACTTGGGTGGTTGTTTGGAAAAACAAATATAGTTAGTTTTCATTTTGGGCAGTGTTACTGACATACTTCTTTTACATTGCATGATTGCTACCAGCTATATTCATGTTGCGGATAAATGAAGCACAAGTAATGTCTTTTCCATATCATGTGCCCGGATGAAATTTTTCTGTATAAAAATTCGAAACAATGGTAAATCACTTTGTTTTGATAACACGTGCTGTGCTTCATTTATCCTCCATACTTTTCGGTCTTTGCTTGAAAATCTTGACACTGTAGTTACCACAGAACAAAACCTAACATGCCTATGAAGTGGACTTAACTTTGGAGTATTGATTCAACATATATACATGTATACCAGCAAAGACTTCACCCGCAAATGAATCAATTCCATTTTTTATTGTTTTCCGATTTAAAAAAATAGAATAAAGTAAACACAAGTCTTCTTTCGATGGTTTTCATATGTTTCTCATACCTGTAGCTAGGTGGGAAGTATATATGAAGTGGCCATATATTATCTTTGGGCGGATATCGCGCGCCTCCGGACCTGACCTAGACTGGTGACCGGATGAGAGGCCGTGGTTCGCCATATGATTAAGCCGTCTTATAGGCTTTCCTCTCCCCGGGATAAATATGTGAATCCTGTTCAGACCCGCTGGCGTAGGAGTCGTATTTTGAACCTTCACTGGGCTGAAACCCAAATCTCCGGAGTCTAATTTCAGACTTTCAACGGTGATAAGAGGAGAGGGAGAGATATTATTTCCACAAAACAATGTTTTAAATAAAATAAAAAAGAACCGACAATATTACAGATTTTTTATCAAAATACAGTGCAGTGGATAATTTAAACGTTTAGTTGTGTAGGTCAGTATGCAAGACATTCGCAGGTCACCAAGGCTCCCGATCCCGACCATTTTGTTCACCGTGATTAGGCTTCAATAAGGTATTCATTAGATTGTGACGGTATAAAATAAAAATACAGAAAACGAGTCGAAGAACAATTTTATTTCATTTTTTCTATGATTCGACAATATATAATCATGTTTATTGTGGAGTTCATGTGTGAAATTATACTACACTGTGATCTGGTACAATACTGATCACTTCCACAGAAACCTGGCTGGATATAAAAAATGAATAAACAGTATGGCGATAAGAATATCACAGATTCAATCATTGAACAAAACTAGAACTTTATTACACTAATAATAATGTAAGTCATATGAATGGTATATATCAGTGATTCTCAAACTAGGGTTATGCGGCTCTCAACAACCTTTCATGCGGCTCTTGTTAATGCTTTAAAAAATAATTACTTTCAAAGAAAATTTTCCATTGAAAACTGATCATTGACTTGAAATTAAAATGCGGAAGTCTATTAGTTCGTCGAATGGATTCCCCCGTGTTCATTTGCGTAGCGTTGACTAACCTATAAGATGCAATAGTGACGCAACAGTAAGCGTTTTTGCGTCCACTCGGACACTTTTCACTTGGAAAGATTTTAGACATGGCTGTAATCATTGGCTTGCTTTCGTGGATTTTCAGTTTTTGTCGCATTTCCGAATATTATGTATAAATCAAATGACTCAATAAATATTTTAATTTCTAGAGCCTTTTAATTTTGTTCCCGTAATCGAAAATAGTCCCGAAATATCTTGCGATCATCTCGATCAGCTACTGCACCTTGCATCCTCCAAGATTACGACCCGCTTTGACAAACTTATTAGAAATCAAAGCCAAATTAAATGGCTGTTAGTCTAGGATGGGCAAAATCGAATCTTTTCTCGAATCGAATAATTTGAATATTTTTAACGAATACCGAATAGTCGAATAATGAATATTTTTCTTACACATAGCAGGGATCCAGAACGTCGGAGGTCGATACTCCATTTGGAAATTAATAGAAACATTCTTTGTCACCGCGATCGTTTCGGCGGCGATATCCTGAAGTTGGTGTTCTATATTCCTGCCATTTCTCGTTTTTTTTGCAAGAATAAGGGGTCGCCGGATATCGAAGTTACATATTTCTAGAATACCATTGCGTTCACATCAGCAACAGCTGTTGAATACATTAAGGGCTGATTTCAAAAACAAATTAATTTTATTCTGAGTTTTACCCTCTGCCTTTGATTTGACCTTTCTTATCACCGCTTGTAAATTTCGTGCCTGTTTAAAGTGAATGGTAACCGAGATGCAGATATTTATTAACATAATAATCGAGTTTCTCATGCTTTTTCTATGGTGTTCGTGTTATTTCAGTATTAGATAGATAAACCTAGCAAATTCACGATTGCGTGAATCCTGAATGTTGATTTAAAATAGCGATTAAATAAATTGGCAATAGAGGCATTTTAGACCACAATACCCCGATGGTTATTATCTAAAATACTTACTGAGTAATGCTCAATTTTGTTTACGGAATTTGCAAATTCAGCACTTCACTTAATGATTTTGATTATGTCATGCCTTAAGGCTTAATAATTACTGCCCAAATGCTTCAAAATTTAACAAATGTAATCATTTTCGAAGATAATAGACGCAACAATTCGTGAACGAGGTAGTGTGCATTGTTACAACGAAATTCGCGATTGAATTTACTTTCTACTCTTGGCTCAACGGCCATGCATGACCAGGTAAAATGTTTACATATTCGAAACATTATTTGGCCAAGGATGGAAGGAATCACTAAAGAGGTAATACAAAGTGCTTTAAATGAAGTAGGACATGGCATTTCTTATCTGGTTACAACTTAATGAGTGTGTTTCATACAAGTAACTCATACCAGTTTTTGGAAAAACTTTTGGTCATTTTTAAATCCATGCTATTTATATAACTAGAGTTTTCTAACGACCTATCGCCGAAAAGTCATTTTAACATTTAATTGTAATCAACTCTATGTTCGGTAATGCAAGAAATGGCTAATGACATGTCACCAAGCATGCGGAGTTTAAAATCTGGGAAATATATTTTATAAACCTAATCTGGTTTGACGTTTCTAAATTTACGCAACGGTCGCCGGTCGTTACGTTTTTTTGCAAAATATGGAATTGAAACGATACGTTAATTCGAAGATAAGCATATAACCACACAACGCAATGACTTTTCAAATTTATCGTTTTTTTTTTGATAGCGAGCGCCGTTGCGAAATCTCGCACAATTCACGATTGAGTTTGAGAAGCGCGAGTTCGGTGTCCAAGCAGAGCGGCGCAGGTGACGTGGTACCGGATATTCGAATAGCAAAATGCCATTCGAATATTTTATTATTCGAATACTTTGCCCAGCCCTAGTTGTTACGTGTGTTGTGTTGCTACGATGATTTGGTATTTTAAATACGTTCGTAAGGATTGTTGCTATTTTACCTTGCGTTGTTTGTGTGCGGCTCTTCATAACGTTGAGGTTTGAAATGTGGCTCTGGGACTGAAAAAGTTTGAGAACCACTGGTATATATAAACGATTAAACTCCGCTGATATACAATCAGAAGTTGAAAATGTGATGCACTACAGGTAAATATTAATACATGTTTTACCCTCGGGATAAATATGTAAATCCTATCCTATCACTTATCAATAATATTATTAATCGATCAGAAGGCAATTATTTTGAGTATTGTGAGCTAGAGTTTTTTCATTTTCTTATCTTAGAGAACAGTGATGGAGAGGAATTTTTTATTTCGAATGGGACATAACCCCAAACTTGGACAGCATTCTTTTTTAAGAATTTTTACCCAATATCAGTTGTACCCTGAGATAGGAAATAAGACCTGGTTTTCTTCGATCTAGTACCATATTTATGTACCTCTTTAAGATGTGTAAAATAGTATCTAAAGGCAGGGGGAAGAAAACCATTTTCACATAAATTTTGACGTATAAGTTATGACGCATAAATTTTGCTATTTCCGAAGTATGCATTTTTGACATCTGTAGAATTGCATGCTGACAATAAAGTTAGAGGTTGGTTGGGCAACTTTTCTCAGCAAACGATATGCACCTTAGACCTTGGTACTTTATATTTTAGAACTTGGATTGTCTGTAATGAAGACTTAGATGCTGATCCCCAACTAAGAATTCCATATTGCAATCGCGAGTGAAACAGGCTATTGTAAACTGCTTTTAGAGTTTTAAAATTCAAAATGTGTCTTAAAAAATACCAATGGATGACATGTCATCTGCAAATAGCGTTGAATGAAAGGAAGATGCAGCTGGTAGATCAGTTATATAACATGAAAGTAGCAAAGGGCCAATTGTGGAACCCTGTGGAACTCCGCATTTGATAAAGCCCAGTTCAGAGACATATTCGCTATTCTCAACGTATTGCTGTCGCCCGCTCAAATAAGACGCCATGAGATTAAAAGAATTCTCTCTAATACCGTAATGGCGTAATTTATCAAGTAAAATTGAGTGGGTAACGTATTTCGTGCGATCTCCCCGCACGAAAATTTTATATTAGTGAGTTCATTTTACCTCTGTATTTACAACACTACCATCTGGTGCGTTACATGGGGAGAAATTCCTTCCGTTTCTGCCGAGCATGAAACCTGATAATTGTAGCAGATTGAGATTTAAAAAAAAAGTGAATGTCTAGTCTTCAGCTTTTTTTGAGACTTGTTGGTAGAACACCACGACTTTTCGTATCTATCCAGAGAATTTTTATCTGTTAATTTCTGACCTGAATCGGATGCAAAAATAACCCGCGGGCATTTTGATAATTATGCTGTTAGTGTTAGGTACCGGTAAATTGACCTGAGTGACACGTTGCACTAGATTACGGGAGGGAAATTTCGAGATATCTGTAATAGGTAGTTATATTTTGATTTGGTTTATTTATAGGAGAACATCGAGGCAACATATAGTGTTCAACTTAATATTCGGAAAAACTTACGCAGTATAGCTCGCCTGCCTTTAAATTCAGTAGCAGCTAGGTGTAATTTGCGTTGTTTTGCTCCTCTCTTTCAATATACCCAATAAAACATCTATATTTTAAATATATTAGTCCAGGTAGCTGCGTGTCGTATTTGTTATTCTTTATGCGTGAGTTTAATAAGGTCGAAATTTAAGCATGAGACTGATCGTCGTTTGGCTTTCGTCTTTTATTCTTGTCTGTGCTGAAAATATAGATGAAAATCCAAAGCGATATCTTCTCTACGATTGCAACCCAGGAGAGGGATTTAATTTACGAAGAGATGTGTATATAAGAATGTCAAATTTGGTTAAGGCATTGAGGTAAGTTTGCACCGAACTTGAACTTTTTTTTAAATGCAGAACTCGAAATTAAAACAGAAGACATAGCAAAATGTCGATGGCCGGATCGTGTAGTTCCTTTATGTGTCTGTGGTCCGAAATGTAACGTTTCTTGTCAATATATTTGGTCAACGTGCCGAAGCTGAATACTAGATCATTTGTATCCTATGAAATGAGTTGTCATAATTTATTTTAGAGATGACGGCAAGAAGGACCAAAACTGGGTTTTGGTGTTACCGCCATGGGGCCGAATCCGATATCATTGGGACGAGGAAGAAATGGAAGAAAGTAAAATAGCATGGAAATCTTTCTTCAATGTAGAAAGTTTATCATATCACGTTCCCGTAATGGAATACGAGGATTATGTCGAAGAAATCGGGGAACCGAAAGTAGACGAAATTTGGTATTTACAGGTAGGTCTCGCAATCGTATTATTGAATCTCGTTGTATTATTAGATTGAGATCATCAGCCATTAGGTATAATTTTAAATCTTCACTTATTGACCAATCATTCATTAAGGGTTTAAATACAATCAATATTATTGCGGTTACTAGTTGATTGCTGATCAATCATAATGATGTTGTTTAAAACTCGATTGTTATTTCTATTTTGATTAATTGCTGTGATTTTCGTTCAATTTACAGTGCTGACATCGTACACCGTTAGGCCGCAAATACGCAATACACCTTTTTCTGCTTTCAATTGAATAATTTTCTGTTTATATCAGTAAAAAACAAGTATTTGCTTGAACTCGTGAACGAACCCTGTCATTTTTGCGTGATTATCATGATTTGCGAGATTCAAGACTCTCGCTGCACGCTAACACAAAACTCTTGGGATCGCATACCAACATTTCATGCTAGCAGTATAATTAGTTTATCACATCCCTTCTATTGGTAGATTAGGAAAGTATTTCATAATTTTATTTCGTATTTTGTTCGCAGAGATTCAAGGAAGGTTGGAAAGACGGTAAGTTTGAAGAAAAAATACACGAAAGAGAATGCAATGATCCTGCCGTGTATGAATCGGACAACGAAGGAAAGATTCGTGGATGGTTCTGGGGATATTTTGAAACTTATGCTACGAAATTTAAATGCGTTTCTTCCCAAGGTACATCAAAGTAAGTGAAACGTCGTTGCAGTTTTTTACCCATCCGTAGTACTCTATGTAACTATCTGCCGTGAATGAGTTAAATCACGCAACTTGTATTTCTTACTTTTATTTTAGTATCAAGGCCGCTATTGTAGTTAATTTATTATGTGTTTCAAAAGTACAACATCGACAAAATGCCGGATTTCCTTTATTATCACAGCCCGCTATTGAAATGAATTTACGCTATGCTTTTATTATGACATTTAGAACTTGTCTTGCATTTAGAATTAATTGAAAAAATAAATTTTACGATGAAAACAATGAATTCATTATTTATATATATGAAGTATTAGAAAATTATGAATGTAAAAAAACAATCAGATGGTTAGGATCTGGACCGACTAAAATTCGGCTTTAGCTCCTGCGCCAACTAAATTTCCCCGTCCCTCAGCCCTGCTGGTAAATTCATCACTTGTGAACAATCGATACGCAAACCTAACCAAAATCTCACCAAAAAGTGTCAGAAATTAAGCGTTAAGAAATTATCTTTTTAAATACCGTCGATTAATTGAATCTTCGTTTCCGAGTCTCGAAAATCTCAGCGTTGTAATCTGAAAATGTATTAATAAAAACCTTACTAACATCTTACATTATATTTTGTAGAGTTTTAATACGCCCTTTGAACGGGGGTAACACAACCGCAAGATCTGTGTTCCTGGATCGTGGAGAAACCGTTATGCATGAAATGTTTGGCGGAAAAAATTACTGGGACTCTAGAAGAAGCATGGTATTTGCAAAACACTTGCGACAAGAAGCTGCTGAAATTAGAAAGAAGTATCTAGATTCCGACGACGAGAGAGACAACACTTACAGGCCTGAAGATTGGAGAACGCCAAAGGTGACGACCCCCCTGTTTTTCCTCAAATTTACTTTGATTATACACGGGGGTCGAAAAAACAGAGCTCATGAATTTCCTAATTACTTTACGAAAATGACAAAAATTTACTCAACACTCGGAACTTCTGTTTGTATATGATTGTACCAAAAAGTTTCAGTAATCTAGGACGCTTTCCATAACGTCTAGAATATGTTCCAAATGGCCTGGGTTCTATTTTTCGAGGTCACACTGTACCACGTTTTTTCTGCTCGGTGTTTCCGTCGGACCAACAGTTTAAAATAGCCCTCAAGATGACGAGTTTTATCTTTTAGCCGAAACAATGTTTTTATGTAGACAATAAATCCACGTTTGATTTCTGAAATAATGATCATGGTCGAAGATTATGCTAATCCGTAGTAAATATATTTGATAAAATTCAGAATTTTAAATTTTGACTTCTCTTTGACTTAAAATTACTTTTCAGATTGAACCTGGCACTGCCAAAGGAGGTCCATATATAGCAGCACACCTGAGACGGAAAGATTTTCTTTATGCAAGAAAAGAAAAAGTTCCTTCGATCGAAAACACTGCTAAGAAGTTGAAAGAACTCATGAAAAAATACAAGGTACCGGTATACATATTATACCATTGGGTCATAATTACCAGTCAGAAGCATGTACAAAGTGGATTAGAAGCCTTTATATACATTGAATGTTGGTTTTGCCAATATTTTTATTTCTATATTAAGTATTCTGTTGCGATTTAAGCTAATTTTATTGTGATTTAAAATTCGTCGGGTTGACCAATAATGGTCATCATAAAGCGTATAAGATATTTCAACAGAAGGTTTTATCATCATATACCAGCCGATTATATTCATACGAACGCGTGTTCGTGTTGACCTTACTCTTGCGATTAAAATAATTTTGAATTTGCTTTCATATACACTGGATCACGACATGTATGTTAAGCCCTAGCTAGAGACTTTGCTGTACTAGGGCTTACCATACATGCCGTAATCAGCATTGTTTCAGAACTAAACTTCAAAACTAAACTCTAGGTTTCCAAAGTATTCGTCGCTTCAGATGGTACCAAAGAAGAGATGAGCGAATTAAAGAAACTTGTACCTGAAGTAGTTATGTACGAAGGCACAAAAGAACGGGAAAAACGATTAAAGAAAGGTGGAGTTGCAATTGTTGATCAAATCATATGTTCATATGCAAGGTATGATTTTCTTATGTTATTTGCAGCCTGTTGGCTTTGTATTTACAATATTTTAATGATGATATGTATGCTTCTATGCCTAGGATAAATAGCCCAAACAAATTAGTTTAATTTTAAAGGCTGCAAATCTTGTAAGTCGAGAAATACGGCTTCCTCAGAATCTCTGACTGGAGTCTTGCAATTTCCTGAAGTTTTATATATATATCAGACGTCCTGGTGTTGCGAGTCGAAATTCTGAATTGTCGGGAGTCGGAGACGTACATGAAACTTTCAGTGTTGATAAAATAAGTCGTCGAAACTTTCCTTTAAAACATCCCGTTGAATGGGTCTTGTTTTCGTCATCAATTTTCTTTTTTGGATGCTTTAGTCGGAATCAAAATTCCCCTCAACCCGGACTCGGGGGTCAGATTCGATAGTAAATCATATCTGACTCAAATTCACCCATCTCTTAAAAGTACTTCTAACCCTAAAATTACCTTTTCAAAACCGCTGCAAATTCAAATTTCCTTACAAAAGGAGTACCTCATCAAATCAGGATATATATTGTGAAGTAATGCATTTACTCAAATAGTGTGATATTGCAATTTGGGATGAGGAAATAATTTAATCTAAACGCATATGCATTAATGCCATTGAAAACGTCCAATACTAATATTCCAATTCACTGTTTTTATTGATCCTTCCCCCCTTTTTCAATACAATTCAGATATTTCATCGGAACAAGTGAATCCACATTCTCCTTCCGTATTCAAGAAGAACGAGAGATCATGGGGTTCGACAGAGATACAACATTTAATAGGTTATGTGGTGACGAAGAAGGTGACGATTGTCAACAACCGAGCAGATGGAAAATTGCTTGGGAAAGCGATGGAGAAATTTGGGAGAAATAGCAATTCTAATTTCATTTTGATCTCTGAATCTGCACAATCTACTATACTACATCGTTATTATTACGTAACAAGCAAATCACGCCTCTGGAGATAATCTGCAATACGTTTATATTCTTAGCTCAATTTATAATAGCCTATCAGGTATTTCTTAAAAAGTAGATGTACTTTATTGCTACAAAGAATACCGTCACAGTTGGTTTTCTATTTCAAGTGATGGGGTTTTATTAGAAGAGGGCAAGAAGTGAAACGCGAATATATCATATGGGTTATAATTCTGGACTTGAGTATTTGGCAAATATGATGTCACGATCGAGTTGAGCAATATAGTAGAAATTCTCTTCACACGTCGATGTATTTGCGCTGAGATGTACCTTTTCGTTTTTGAAATATGCATTTGTTTTGGGAGTCTTCGTTCTCAGCATTTATTGTTGTGAAACGCAGTAAAGAAAAAAATAGCCCCCACGAGAAATCTTGACTGTGTGCAGCCAATTCCCCGCCTTTAAAAGTTCATGCAACGAATATGACCATTTACCTGTCTCTACCGACTGTTTAACTAGAAATTAGAAACCAGATTCCTGGAGTATTTTTTAAAGCACGAATTTGTTGACATCATTTTACTCTAACAACTCTTTTTCCACGCTGGGTCATGGAACTGCCCTGGTTCAGAATATGTGAAAACTTGCGTTCACGACAAAAGTACTTATACTGTATTCATCGACCAAGGGGGTTGTCTTTAGCTAATGGTTTTGCTTTCCTTTTTGGATAAGGCTTACGATAGAATTCTCCTTCGCGATAAACAAGATCTGGCGATCCAAACAATGCAATCCTTGCCGCTTGTCCATAAACCGAATCAAATGTGCGAAGTCTCTCGTCGTCCCAATCATCTAACTTTATATCATATTCGGTTTCTAGAATAGCTTTTGGGTGAATGTGAAGAAAATAATTGTCTTCTACAGAAAAATGGGCGCTCGTTGTTGAATCGAGGCCGTCAAGATATGGATTCGGACGATTAAAGAGAATTTCGTCCATGTGAACAATATTCGTTTCCTTGTTTTCTAAATAAATGCTGTATGGAACCACAAGACCCCAGAATGCAAGACTTCTTCTTTTGACTGGATCATAGGATTTGTACATGTTTATCCACACATTGATAAAAGTTGAATCTTGCTCGCTGAATATAATTCCGTTGCTTGCTTTGTCGCTTTTCGATCTGTTTGAAAGATGACAAAATATAAAAATGCCGAAGAAACAGCCAATAACCGTCGAATTCGAGTAATAATTCAACATTCTTCTTCAATTTGACCTCAAGACTCAAAGTTTTAAGTGGACACAATTTGATAAAAGTAGTCAGATTTTAATATAATATTTGTGTTGGCAACACAGGTTACGGATCTCGGGTGGACGTTCGCCAGCAAGCTTTGGTAAATGGATATACAACGACGTACCGGTAATATTCTATAATATAAATAATAGCTTATTACTTATAGGTGGATGCCCCCCGTGCCTCCCGCAAACGCCCAAAATAAAAAGAAAATAGTAATAGGGTTAGAGATGCAGATTTCGCTGAAAATTCAATTTTTTAAAATAATCCCAACCTGATGATTACTAATTTGTTATTAAAAAACGTGGCGTTTTTTGCTTGAGTGGCGGGGACTTTGTACAAAAGATCCAAAAAATGTTGAGTACAAATGAAGAATTCAGTCAAGCCACTCGCATTTCAGAGAAGAAATCCCAAGCGCAAACTCTAAGAAATGCGCAAAAACCTTTTACGGGGATGATTCGTTCGAAGATATATTTTTCCGTAAACGGAATTTTCAAAAATGTAATTCTGGGAACTTTACCTATAAGTATTGTATTTGTTAGGAGTAAGCGGGGGGTAGTTATATTCGCTAATGATGTAGTTTGGAGCGAAGATCTTCCCACACAAGGCTGATCTCGACAACTGTGATCCAAGTGCGAACTCTGCTCTTGATTGGGCTATTCTGTCAAACTGTAATACCTCAATGAATAATCATACTTACCGCCCAACAGCTGATTGGTGAATACGAATCGGATCCAGAGATTTCAAAGTTATGACGTCGAAGTCAAGATATATTCCACCTTGTTCTTTAAGAATCTGAAGTCTTGCAACATCCGATTTGAAGAGATCTTTATCGATCTAGAAAATCAGGATTGATATAGTGTTTTGAGTAGAAAATATGAATAATATTTCAACAAAAAACAAAATGCAGTCCATAAATCGATTTTTTTCCTTCAAAATATAAATCACCAAAACGTCAAGTATTCGTCAGAGTGAATTAGGCGAACTTGCATATAAGAGAAAGATTTTCTGGTACAGTATTAGGAAATTTTAATTTGTGATTGGTTCCAACGGCTTCAAATCGTTTGTGGCGCACAATTTTTGTTTTAAAGAACGTTAAATTTAATCCCCTACTATCTCACCAAGCAATAAATGTCACAATCCATCTTATTTCTTACTAGCAATCTCCTACGTTCGTGCTGAATCAAATTGTAATCATATAATATTTACTGTATCTTGCCTGCTTTTCAAATACATCATCTGGAGCTCTCATCTTTACCATTTCAATGCACGGAATTTCACGTCTTATTCTTCCCCATATCTTACCTGAAATAAAACGAAATAATAGGCAATTCGCATGTGTTGTATACGCATTTAGAATCTTTTATAACTTCTCACCTCCTTCGAATACATCTGAATTATAATGAATTTTGATGACGCTCGGTCTTTGAATACTTGCAACAGATCTGAGTGCGAGGTATTGATAATACTGTGATACATTGAATTTAGGTCCAAACCAAATGAAGTGTACTATGTCCGGGACTAAATAATGTTTTCCAGAAGGGTCCGCAACTGGGCATCCTTTTTTGCATCCACCACAAGATATATCCGTGTACGGCAGTCTATCACAAACAACATAACCTTCAGCTGAATCAGGTTGTCTGCAGCCTGCTCTTTGTCGTGCCCTTCGCACAAGTTCGTAATGGTACGTTAAATTATGCGATGCCACATCGCGATGGTGTTTTTCAGTGGGAACCATCAAAAACTTTACAGTGAATCCACATATGAGTATAAAGAATATAGTCTTTTTTATGATTTTGTACATCTTCCAGCGTGGTCGGAAATATCTACGATACCAATTTATGTACAGTTTTTTGATGGTTAGAATTAACATTTCAAAATAATTCTATATATAACAGTCATAAAAAAATAAATATAAACTATAATCTGGCTAATAAACTATATATATAACATATATATTGTATATTTGACAATATATATTAACTTTTATAAACTTGATTTAAGAAAACTTCCGGTTGAAGCACAATTACTGTTGTGTAGTTTTGCCGTTTAACTCTTTTGGTTTTCTCAATTTATCGGATTCACTATACCTTCATTTTTAAACTCATTGGGGAGTACAAAATGACGGTTCAGTGGACAAAATGCACCTATACTTGTCCTCGTGCCAGTTCGCTAATTGGTTACTTCATTGCTATCCTTCAAAAATTTCTTTAGTTGATTGACGCAAAAGTTAATTCTGATAACGCCAAAGTAATTAGAAGGAACAGAATGCCTGTCTCAAACCGTAAGATAAATGCAGACATGTCCTTTAAATTGAATCCCAACTGCAAACCCTTAATGCGGTGTGCATAAAATATAGTGCCTATTACAATGTATCTATTTACAAAATACATTTCCGTTTACACGCCGTTACCAATGATACCTAGAATAAATTTCAGTCAGAGCGTGATTTTGTTGGAAACATCCAAGCATGTATATTCAATTTAACAGTATAGCAGATGCAAACTTCGACTATGCGAATCATCCCTGCTGTAATTTTTAGATATATATACTGTAATTATTCATGTATGCGCAGCTCTTCAAATAATGCTATTAATTTATGCATATAGCCTATAATCTCAAAAATATATAATACGCATATCCAAGAATGTTTTTTTCTACAACAAACTGATTTGCTTCGAATCGCAACCGTGTTGAAAAGGGTGAACTGAGAAAATTTCGAAAGGGTTGACTTTGTAGTTTACATTGGAACCTGCATCCAATGAGCATAGGCTATGCTTTGTTGACGTTTTTATTTTTTTCATTTTTTATTTATTTAATTAAAGTATGCTTTGATGTGACAATATATTGCCATATTTCTGAAAAATATTGTGTTTTCGACTTGATTTCTATTCCGCCTACGCCTGTCGTTTACTAGCCCAATCAGAGTAAACTCAGTAAAATGGACGGTTTTCTTATAACTGGTGTATATCTTATTTCTATATAATAATAGAATAGCAATGCCACCATTCATATTTGAAGAATTTGAATATATACCGGTATATATATGAGGCCAATCAAATGTTGATGTGCATACTCAGCCAATAAAATATGCAACTACGGCGATGTGTTTGATATCAGAGATATACATAAGAACCAAACTCTCGAAACTCTATTTCAATTAAATTTTAAAATAAATTTCTATATCACACCAGGCAACAACACGCGGTGAAGTTGCTTTCATATTTGAGAAAGGGAATATTTATGATATTATGAATAGTGCTTATAAAGCGAAAAAGGGTCTATAAAAACGCTACGATTTATTAAAAGCCCGATGTTTGATGCCATTGTGGCATCATTCAGTACATACTTATGCTTGTTTTGCGCGTGGCTGAATATGCATGTACACCCACGCGCACAAAATACATATCATAAGTTTAAAATCTTAGCAACTTAATATTTTTCACTTGTGATTAGTCACTCGTCATGCTATTTATAAATAACGCTGTTGCTGTGTAGCGCAGGGTCGTATGAACTATCAATGGCAATATGCCCAATGAAAACAGTCAGGATGGTTTTGAATGTGGGCCCCTGATAAATTTAAAGTTGATAAAATCACAACTTTGGTCCTTGGAAGCGTCACGCTTTAATGCCACAAAACTATGGTAACCCTATTTATAATGTACGTCACGTAACCAACCCCAATCGTTGAAATTAGTCCATAATAACTTAACGAGGATGCTTGCTGATATTTGAGATTATATCTAATTTGCCACATGTAATTTATCTATTTTAGTGGAATAATGCAAATTATTCAGCAATAATTATATTTTAAATGGAATAGGCTCGAAACGATGGGAAATAAAATTCTAGCTGGATTGTGCGTTAACAAATTTTATGATCAAAGCATGCGCTTCTGTTTCATTGTTTACACTTTAAACTCTTGTTTGTATACCGTGCACCATTAAGACTGGTGACGGATTTTATCATTGTACCGGTCTCCATGTTCACTTGATCATTGACATTTTTTCGTTATTTGCACTGTACCTTTATTCTGCTTCGTTGTTTCGTTGCGACAAAGGCAGGTCGAAGCGTGATTCCATTTTGAAGAATACCTAAAACAATTAGAGTAATTTTGTAAGCCAGAATCAGAATTAATTATGTGCTCTTAATTTTTGTTCTTAAACTTAAATTGAGCAAACAAACGAGCAAAAATCGTTCTTAGTTATTTTCTTGTTGAGATAAACAAATACGAATCGTCAAAGATTAATGCTATCTATTTTTTAATTAGGTTACGTATCTGAGGAGCTTACTTCAGAACATTATATCAAATTGTTCAGGCTCAGACCAGGTAAGATTAAAGAACAGCTGTTAAATTGATGTCAGATAGTAATCAGACAGAGTAAGCACATTCTGATATAATTTGCTTATCAATACATCGCTGTATGTATTCGACAAAATACACACTAAATAAATATATTCCCATACAACATCGACATAATATCCCATCATGATCATATTCGTCGTTTTTAAATTGCGAATGCCTTTTCCAGAGTAAAACCGGTTTAAAATTTTCTAAAAATGATATTAGTTTTTTTTTTTAATCGGGCTAATAAACCTTGTCCCAAATATTTACCGTTTAACTTAAAGGGTAAAAAATTAAAATACGATAGAAAATATGACTTTGTATAAATTGGAAACACGTTAACCTTGAAAAAAAAATTGATCTATCTGAGTAAAAGAAAATCTAAGAATTATTATAAACTTTACTTTCGAATATTTTTTGTCGTAAAATCATCTCCAAATCGTAATAATAATTTGATTTATCAGTAATGTTTCATATATCAGTATTTGGACCCCCATCTCCAGCGACTAGAAACGAGTATTAGGACTTCGATTTTTCTGGTGCAATAAACTTTTTTTTACAAACTTAAGTTACCGAATAAAGTTTTTTCAAATGCAGGCGGCTATAACTTATGAAAAAAAAGTTTTCATCATCAGCAACATTTTTTCAACTTCGTTTTTTATTCGCCAAATTTTCTCAGTCCCAAAGCCCGCAGTTTCAATATTCTGAAATACGTCTGGCGACGTTAGGTTATAATGAACTTATAAAATAGTTTGCACTTCTGATAACTCAGACAAATAATAATGACGTCATGAATTGTTTGCATGAATGTTGTTCACGTATTTTGCACGCGGCCCTCAGTAATTAAATATCCGATACATCTCCGTTCGATGTAAATATGTTTATCGGAAGCTTCCGCCGATATTCTATCAACGTTCAGACCAATCCTCGGAACATATTATACTCCATATGCATATGGTACAATATTTGCTGCCATTTTTAAAGTTGAAAAGAAAGAAAATTTGAAAAAAATAATTTGAGATATTCATTTAAAAAAGTAGAATGGTACTATGACTTCTTTTAGACAAAAATTTGAACCCGTAACCATAGGTCCGAACTTGGACAAACTCCAGAACGATGTTTCAAGTGGCTCTGAAGTTAGGGCCAATTAAATAGCATTAATCACCTTCGACGGCTTACGTTAAACACGCTTGAAAGTATTTAGTGACTGTCTCGCGTGCACATACCGTGTTCACGAAGTTCTGTCGTGCGTGTTCCCAACTTAAACTTAGTAAAGTTAGTGAATCTGATATTTTCTTACAATTCAGTTTGCACACGCACACATGCGTACTTTGCGCAAAATTTTTATATTCTAGTAAATATTTGTTCTTTTGCGAACCAACTCCACAAAAATGACAGTTATTTCATGTAATGTTCGTCTAAAATGGGTAATACAGTTTTCTGGGTAATCTGAAAAATATTTTTGACTCTTTCATTAACATACGTTTTAAATCTGTTATGTAGACTCCAAATACGATCACGTTATCTGTTGGCAGCAATTTTATCAAAATTGATCCACCATGATATAACTCTGTCCCAAATCAGAAAACGTTTTCAGATTTGTTAAGACAAAGAAGGAAAGCGCTTGGACCATTGATGGCCGTACTAGGTTTATGTTAAATTATATTAGTCTCGCAAGAAACACAAAAGTCTGTTCATTGTCAGAAATTTTCCTCTATTGTGGGTGCCTTGCGCAATGTTTGCGCAAAATATTTGGGTTAAATATACGTCTTGGACATTTGCACACGCGCACATGCGTGCTTCTTGCAAAATTCTAAATCTAATCGGATAAAAATGCTCAGCTTTTTAGCTTCTGCTAAAAATCAGAAATAATGTTCAATTTTCGATGTTTGAATCGGAAAATAATCATTCAAATCTAAATCGTAAGTAGCCACAGGCTTGTGATTATCGCACCAATATCGACTATTTGAATAAATATACACGGAACACCACTCTATTTCGTTGAGTACGGTAAATAGCATAAAATGACAGGATGAAAAAATAAAACTAAACCTTGCTATAATGACAAAGAGCCATTTTATGTCCTAGAATGGCTCAAACAATAACAGAAGCTCTCACTCCGATGTGAGAAATTACCTAGCAAAAAATAGATCTCTGACATCTTGGAGAAATATATATAGAAATCAAAATTTTGTTACAAAATCCCAAAAAATATCGTTTACGGCAAGGAAATATTTGTCCTAATTATAAATGGGTAAAAGAAATCCGCGAGATTGAAGCAATTTCGTCAGCGAAGAAAAGTAACCATCGAGGTATAAACAAAATAATAAAAATCCTGTCACGCGTTCTTCACCAACATATTTGTTAACAAAACTTGAATGAGTATGTCCTTGGGCTAGAGTGTGTGTTTGTTGCATATTTTGTCAGTAAAAAGTTTGGAAATGTAATGCTTATAGAATATAGGATTAGGCGAAATTGCGCAAAACCCAATAAACAGATAGGTTCCTTGGGCTAAAGTGTCGGTTTTTACAGGTTTTATCAGTAAAAATCTCATGAAAGCGGAATGCTTACAAAATATGGCATAACATGGAATGGCACCTCAAGCAAAACTAAACGCAAAATAGCCCAATGTTATTGCAATTGGTTTCGCGTTGAGTTGTTGAGCTTATGCAACATGTCCACTGTTTCAATCGTTGTTTCAACTTGCTGAACACCTACATTGATTGATGCGTTATGGTGTCTAATATAAAAATTGATGACATGTTGACGATGCCATTTGTCTGATATTGATATGACATTAGCATGATGTTTGAGTAGCAAGTACCACGTGGGTATACTTTTCTAGGTGGTTATTAACTGACGCTTTGTCTGTTGGTGTTTTCCATGACGCATCGACTGTCTGTCTCTCTCCGAGTGCCCAGTGCAAAATCAAATTGCATTTTTTCCCAAGAAAATGACCAGAAGATAACGGACGGTTTGTCTATATATTCACATAAGGTACAGGTACACAAAGTCGAAGTCAGAGTTTTGTGAGAAGAAGAGATCGCAGACGTGTAGTTCGCTGGTAGTGAAGTACAGAACTATATGTATAAGTAATTGTAGAGGTTAGATTACAAAGAATTAATCCTGCATGATTTTTAACATCCATAATTTCGAATCCATTTTCCGTCATTACAAATGCAGGATGAAGTTTTGTAACTAAAGCTAATACTGTGTTCACAGTTTCATTTGATAAAACTAAAATTGTTGGTACTCCCGAAGTATGTGGACCGAGATGGTGGACACCGGAACGTAGTAGCCTATGTGTAACAGGTTAGGGTTAGGCCATAATTTTAGGTACAAATACTACTGGATTCACTTGGATAGTCTCCGAACTCGTGATAGAACTAAAATAAGGAAAATCGGTACAAAGTTATGTCCCAACCCCAACCCGGTACACACACTACGTTCCGGTGTCCGCCATCTTTGGTTCACATACTTCGGGAGTACCAATTTGTTTTAGTCGCTGCCGATGGGATTTTATAGATAACCTCCGATATGTTGAAACATTAACTGAATATGAATATTATAGCTGAGACTAAAAGTTTTTCATAATTAAATATTAATACGATGATTGTTTATGACACAGTATATTCAACCTAAAACCTGCAAAACTCTTATTTGTTTTTCATTTGTTGGTCTTTTCAAAACAGTTTTTGACAGCAGAATTTTATTTTTATAAAACACATGTTGTTGCCCCTCTAAATGAATGCCTATTGTTCAGTAATTGGTAGGTATATTTTTTTTTGCGACTGCGAAAGCTACAATGACCCTTTCATCTGGCCCCAGGCACTTACAAAGCAGTGATTAGCAGATAGAAGCTATTTCGTTTAATCCAGCTGATCCAGCTGTATTTCTGTCAAAGATTATGGGTGCGTCGTCATGCTCACTATACACGACGTGAACCAAAAGTAAAAATTGTTATGACGTTATTTTACAAAATTTTGAAAATCAGAACAATTAACACTTTGTCACAATCGACACTTTTTCAATGTTCTAAACAAAAATAGCTCAAAATGATTTTGTGTTTCGTCTTTACCTCTAAATTAAAGTTGTACAATTATTTTGGTATTGGAAAAAGGAAATGTCGAAATTTCTCTTTTCTTTTCGAAGGTATGGAAGTTTATATATATTTAATATATAAAATATATTAATATATAGGTAACAACTTACAAAACCCTTCGACAAATAGTACTGGTACAACGAACGAAAATGAAATATATTCATGTCTCGCCAAAAAAGCACTAGAGACAAACTTTCTGCACTGATATGCAAAATACTAAGCTACTCTATAAATAAACAGACTAAAAATAGTGAGAAAAGAGAAAGGGGATGAACTAAGCAGTTTTGTCAGTAAAGTTCAGTGAGTCAGTCAATCGGGTACGACATCGCGGAGCAGTATCTTAATTTGAGCAATTAGCTGTCAATCGCTATAAACCATAAATCGTTTAGAAATAATTATTGCATATATCAGTTTATGTGCCAGTGTAAAATACGAGCTTGTTTTGTCCAACATATTTGTAAGTCTGATGTACCGTTAACGCAATGTTCGCAATTCAGTCCATTAGTATCGTCATTGAACTATCTGTACTAGCATAGTATTGAAAACATTTTGTAATCGAGATTAGTCTACAGTACACTCTACCCTTTACAATCTACATCAACAATGTTCAACCCAATCACCTATCACTCGACGTGTATTGGAATACTGGTTGCGCCAGGCCGCAGTGATTTCGATACTATTCAGCCCCATATATTTTAGTTGGTAAGCAAATGATTTATGCAGTGTTGTTTTGGAGTAAAGATGTTTAATGGGTACGAAATGTACATATGAATCGTTTTGTTTTTCATGTTTTTCGTTTCCTTGTTAATACAGTATTTCGCTTCTATGAAAAATCGCTTCTCTTTTTAACAAATGGGCTTATTGCTTTGAAATTTTCATTGGGTGAAGATTATATTTTCTACTAGAAGGGTATTACTTTTATTTATTTTAAAAATGTCTGTGGGCTCTATGAAATTCGTTTTGTGTGTGCGATTACGTCATCAAAATTAGAAAATGCGAACGGTGCCGGGAACTTAGGGATGGCGGAATCGAGTCTGGATTCGATTACTGAATCGATTCCCCGCGGAATCGACTAGAATCGATTCCGATGCATTGGAATCGATTCTCAAAGTTAAAACTTGGATTGCAAACAATGTGTAACGTTCTGTGGCAAGTCCTCCACATATGTAAACTGCTTTACTGTTATGCTAAGCTCATACGACACCGCAAACTTCACTATATATATATTTTTTTCTTTTCGCTAGAAGCTAGAAGGCTGTTACGTTTATTTGTTTCAAAAATCTCTGTGGGTTCCGAGGAATTTTTTTTTTTTGCGATTTTGTATACTGTGACAGATTAAATACCCATACTACTTAGTTTTGGCCTTCTTGTCCGCCCATATATTTGAACATCGCTTGCTTGTTTAATTTCACGTGGTATTGTTAAGTGGGTATGCTTTCTCGGTCGAATATTATGCCGAGGAATTGAGATTCGGAATCGGACTTGGTATCCTAAGGCCGCCCGTGGTACCGTGACCGCATTTTAGTGATTTCGTGGTCAGATTACCAGTTCTGTAAAAGATTTATTGCCACTTCGTTTTGGCCTTCGTGTACATATATTTGAGCTTTGCTCTCTTGGAATTCAGACGAGAAAATGCTATTCGGATTTTTTTGTAGATGAATTTGTGTTTTTTGATTTCCAGTATACATTTCCAATATATATATATATATTTGTAAAATTGCCAGCACAATGGAATACGGAAATAAAGCCCGTCTTATCACCATGCTTGTAATGACAGGCTCTTTCTTTTTGGCGGAAATCGTTACGGGATACATGACAAATTCCATGGCACTGGTGGCGGACAGTTTTCACATGTTGTCGGATGTTTTAAGTATTCTGATCGCTTTTTTAGCTGTTCATTATTCCGGCAAGAAGAGCAAAACGAACACATACGACTGGGCCAGGGCAGAAATCTTGGGAGCAATGGCAAATGCTGTTTTTCTCATGGCGCTTGTTTTCACAATTGTGGTTGCTGCGATACAGAGGTAGGCCATACATTTTTCTTTTATTATTACTTTTTTTTTTATATTTTGGTTGAGGTTGAGGAGAAGCAGCCACGTGTTTGGAGTCTTGTCCCAACTATAGGCATCGAAGGCTACAATATCGAACTACGACGGAAAGAAGAATCACATAGGATAAGATTTTTATATTTCAATCGGTGTAAATGTGAGCAACCATGGCCTTTTGTCCAGTCACCAGGTGACGACTATAACCTAAGTATTGACCTATAACTAAGACTATAACCATAGTATTGATTACTTATGTATATATATACATATACAACCAACTCATATACAAATAGAACCCATGTCATAGCCATATGTGGTCAATCATAGAGTGTGCATACACAAGCAATCGATTTTATATGCGTGTATATATCTTGACTTTATACTTTACCACCCAATTTGCAGATTGATCATAATCGAGCCTATCACACAGCCGTTACTCGTACTTGGAATTGGAGCTGCCGGACTTGTAATCAATCTCATTGGATTAGTAATTTTCGGTTCACACGGACACGATCATGGTCACTCGCATGGACATTCACACGGACATGACCATGGTCATTCGCACGGACATGACCATGGTCATACGCATGGTCACTCTCACAACAGTGCTAAAGATTCTCATGGTAAATCTCCCAGTCACGCACACGATGATGACCTCGTGACAGTCACCACCACAATCGCGGAAAATAAGCAAGAAGAAGTCGATAACGCAGGTATATTATGTAAACAAGTTTTATGAAAAATAACACTGCCATTGGGATTATATTTTATATATATATATAGATATACAAACCAATACACGAACAAAGATTTTGGTTTTCTCTGTATGAGAGGAAAATTGATCAAATTTATACCAAAGTCGAATTGTTACAAAAGTATCCCCTCAGAAATTTGCTTGCTCTCAGTGGTTGAAGATTGTTGTTGTCCTAGTGAGCTATTACATTTATTTATTTCAAAACTTTCCGTGGGCTCTTCGGGATTAGTTTCTTCACTTTAATTAAAGTTTTGTTTGATGACGTCATCAAAATCAAAAATTGCGCACCGTGTGGCTGTTCCACGATCGCATTAGAGCTATCCGATGGTCAGACTATCGGTACTTTTTGAAAGACCTGATACTACGGTACTTCGTTTTGGCTCTCGTCCATATAGTCGAGCATGGGTCTCTTGTTTTTCTTATTTTAAAAAAAAATCGAGAGTCCTAATCTAGATAATATATTATATGAAAAATAAATTTAATACGCCCATAACCTATAAAGCCTTTTCTTTACATTCAAATGATTTAGAAAAAAATAATAATGTTGATCAAACGACAAAGAAGAAAAAGAAAAGCAAATCTGCTGCTCAGATGAACATGCAAGCTGTGTTTTTACATGTACTTGGAGATGCTCTCGGTTCCGTAGTTGTTATCATCAGTGCTTTGATTATACACTTTGTTGAGGTAAGACGTCGTAAATTGTACTATTTAATTTCAAACCTTGTACATAAGTACTTTCTACTCTTTAAATTGAAGAATCCTGTATGTGAAACTACAATATATTCTATATCCGTATTCAGGGATGCAAACAGGGATGATATTTTCTGTCGAACCCGGTCGAGAACAGACTAGAAACTGAAATTACGTGCCAAAGAAAGCTCTGCGCAAACTAGGCCTCGGTTTCACGCCGAAGCTTGAAGCCGGCGCAGTCGCGCTCTCTCTAGTCATCGAGTAAGATAAGATGAATGAAAATAGGTCTATAACGTGCGATTTAGAAAGCTCAACGATATGCTATTTTTGGCAAGGAACCTCGGTGTTTCGTTCATATATTCAATAAAACATGTATGTTAATTAGGCTTGCACGTAATTGACAAAAATCAGTTCCGTAATTACGGCCAAATCGATTACGTAATGACCCCGTAATTGCGATATTTTTTCACACATTTAAACCTATCATAACAACCAATTGAATCCATTTTATTTTCGATTGGGACATCGAGTTTGGGTTTTCATATTCCTGGCAGTACTACACGCCGGCGACAGATGTTAAGACAAGAGTGAATTCAAATTAATTTTCTTCTGATTTTTATCTATTGTGCTAGCTTTGATTTCCTTTATCACCTTCGCAAATTAACCGTCCCAATTTTATGCGATCAATTTTATCACTACCGACACTGGTATACGGATATTTATGAAACGATAGTTGACTTTTTTTAAATCGTATTAAAAAAAATGTCGGGTTTCCAATTTATCAATGCCACGACGAGCGTATTCTCTCGTTTGATTATACTTACGCTTGCCTCGCGACGAAGACTTGTTATTGCACCGTTTTTAACATTATTCGACTTTACTACCTAGTCAGCATTTTATAATAATTATTGATGCCGACTTATTGACGTTATTCCGATTACCATGCTTCATTTTACATTAAATCATTTCGCGGCCTAAATGTTGTAACATTATTTGCAACAAATTTAGATCAAATATTAATTATTTGCGCATAATTTAAATACCGTACTTATATGATATGGCTTTTCCGAAAATACAAAGTTATATCGCAAAAAAATGCATATTGTGACATCTATTTTGCACTCACGAAAAAATTAACTTATTTTTCTAACTCAAGTCGACGATCCTATCGGCCAAGATTGACACAAATTTGGTCGAGTGTCGGTGGTTTTCAAGAATCAAAATAAGTTGCCGCATTTGGTAAAGACAGTTAATCATATTTGGCCGAAATATTGCGAGGCATTGTGGAAAATATATTGAGCAAGGACAAGTCCGGACTGATATAAAACGATAAAACCGGTAACAGAACATCAAGGTTTTGTAATTGAAAATGGTTCTCGCACAGAATAAACACACTGGCTCATACTTGATAGTAGTTAAATTGAGAATATTGAACTGTTAAAAACAAAAAAACGATCGTCGAAATTCTTAGATCTCGTTGCCTTGGTTAAATATAATCCAATGATCAGGACATTTTCAATTGAATACTGCACAAAGATAGTTATACATTAAACATTTAGGCTACAATTTAACTTTTTTTTTAAATTTCAATCATGCATTGTGGTGGAGAAATCCCACTATTTAAATACGGTAACTATAAAAATAGAGATAGGGATTCTGGATTCGATTTAAGTATTCTAAAACAGTGGTTCCCAACCGCCTGTCCGCGGACCGTCAACGGTCCGCAAAGGATTTTTACCGGATCGCGGGAAATCCCGTCATATTGTTGTTTCTCTGCCGTCTCAATCGCTTTACCGATGCCGAAAAGACGAAGTTGCGTTGGTTCATTACGCAATTTCTCTTCCGTCGTCATATTGCTGTTTGATAAGCGCGACATTAATTATCACGGTGACGTATTGGCAAGAGAGAGAAAAGTGAGAAAAACGGCTGCAAATACCGAAGCTCTAACTTCTTCTACTTTTTAAACTTTCACTTTTTACAATCGATGAAATTGACTGCTTTGAATAGAGCTAGTTTCAAACGCGAAAGCGCTCGACCAATAATTACGACTTTACGTAATTCGTAACTTTCCTTCCGTAACTCGAAATAATTCCGTAATTCCGTAAATCTGTAAATTACGTGCAAGCCTAGATGTTTAACATACAATGAAACGTGGTCCTCTGTATAAACTTTCCCCACCATAAAAATCTACTTTGAATTAGGAAAAATTATTTTCTTTATTTTATAAAAGGATGAATGGAGGTATTACGTTGACCCAGTGATGAGTTTGGTCACTTCTATTATTATATCTTGGACAACCATTCCTTTACTTCGCCGTGCATCAATGATTTTGCTGCAGAATCCACCAAGAAGTATCAACGTTGACGATATTAAAGAAAAGGCGGCAAAGGTAAAATGAGTGAAATGAATTTTTTTTTATAGAATGTTAAAAGTACATGATGTAACCATCTTTTTATTTCTCTTACTTTGCACTTAACTGAGATAAAAGTCCTATAGAATATCCACATAAAAGTCGACCATTTAATTCAATTTATTTGCCACTGCACTATTTTTTGTCGCTAAATAGGGACATCGCGCTACGGAACTGAACTATTGGACGGCATCTTTCAGAGTCGCTTTTTTAACACGACTATTTTGGGCGATAGCTGACAGTTGTGTAGGGCGGTTTGAGCGCCATCTGACGGCGCAAATTTCGAAAACTTTCATTGGAAAGCGCTAGCGCAGAGCAATATCCTGAAGAAATATAACTGCTACATGATTTATCAAAAATCAAATACATCGTAACTGTGATACTGTGTTGCAATTTTGCCAAATAGTAGTGGTGCAAGTAAACTAGCGCCCAAACGTATGCACCAACGTACTCATTCTGCTACCATTAAGCTACAAAAAAAAATCTTTGCTTAACAGAACAAATATTAAAATTGCATTTTTCAGGTACCTGGTGTAATGAGCATTCACGATTTGCACGTCTGGCAATTGTCGGGTAACTGTGTTATTGCTACAGTCCATGTCATTTTAGTAGACGGTTGTAATTTTGTGGAAATTGCTAAGAAATTGAAGCAAATCTTCCACGAAGTTGATATTCACGCAACCACAATACAACCGGAGTTTGCTATACAAAAGAATACAAAGCAAGCGCCAGAAGAAGTAGATGTAACTTTTTGTGAGTGCCCTAAACAACTTTCTGCAGGAGAACTACACAATTGCAATATGATCGGATCCGATTCTGGGTAAGAATTTGAAAATTGTGGTTAGAAAGACTGAAGTATTGGTGTTATTTTAAAGTCTAATTTGAAAATAAATACTTAATTTGATAAGAACATCAAATTTTGCAACTTTTCTTTCAACGATATACATAGGCAATTAAGAATGCAGTCTACTAAATAACTATCCACAGGCTCAAATAGCTGAATAATTTTTTTTTTTCAGGGTCTCTTCTGATGACGACTCTTCCAACTCCGATACCACTTGTCTATTGTCATGTCTCTCAGACGAATGTCTACCTCATATGTGTTGCGATGGTGTTCGACAAAGGACATTGGATAAACCATCGTTCGAAAACCCTGGCTACGAACCTCCATCGTCCGCCAGCACAAACTCAACGTCGAATGATGAAAATTGCACACAAATTTGAGACAGGATTTATTGTTTCCAAAAATGTAACGTTTAATGAATGAGCTTTAAACGCAGTTTGCTTCATATCCACATTACAATAAACGTCCGCAATTTTTCTTTTTGGAGAGAGGTAAAAAATATATGAATATATACAAACACTGAGGACTATGTGAATTATACACACAATTAATATTTCGAATGTAGAATTCACAATTAAGTGAGATTTGAGTTTATTACATTCTGTAATATGGATGTACATGTATACAAGCGTGCTGGAGTTATAAGCTATACCAACATAGAATAATAATCAGATAAAAAAATTGCCTAGGCAGATTAGGCAGTATCCACGTCTATTACTTCATCTGCTTCTGTCTAAATATTTAATACATTTTTAACTTTTTTAAGGTTAAATAACTCCAAATTCATGTGCGAGGACCATTCATATAAACTCTAATACTCTATAATATGTTTTTTTTTACAAAATCTTCTAATGTTTTATATTGCATTGCACACTGTCTCGCATTATATGGACGGCTGTTTATTCAACATAGAAAAAGTTTAGTTATTCGAGGCTCCGTGAAAATATTACTTTCAAACATGAACAATTCCCCGTACGTTGTATTTTCAGTTTTTAATTTATTGCTCGGTTCAATGTTTTTTACAACAACAAAAACTGTGTTGAATTCATTTGTCTTATTTCAATGAATATATTGCAAAGAATTTCCAATACGACTATATTGTCACGGCATGGCAAACGCCCATATTGAACTAGTGATAAATTGGACCGTATTTTTCAAATAAATAAAGTATTGTTGTTATTGTCGTGAGGTCACGTCGGTTCAAACCATCTATTTGTGTTTGCGTATCCGCGTAAGTTCAATTGACGTTTGGGGCCACTCCATCAACTGAATATAGTTTTACGTCTTTTGAGTTTCTTGATTAACTGAACAAACTCAAATAACACGGCCACAAGGGATACGTCGGTATGTATGCATTTGACGTATTGCGGAATTATGAACGTATACGTAGATGGAGCATATGTAAGACTAGAACGTAATGGGAATAATACGAAACTGTTAACTCAAGAAAAATTTATATTATTTTAGAAAACAGTGAACCGCGTATTAGGATATGGTCACTGGCAATTTGAAACTCATGGAAGGACAAGATTAATTTTTGTTGTATTTCCCTGGACTTTGGAACTTGAACAAATAGGTTCAATTTCGTCGAAGCGTTTCTCATAAAGTAGAAACGCAGAGTAAATTGCTAGAAGAGTCCGCTGGGATTCCACAAACAATAGCTGAGGTAGAAGCACAGTTTTTATTGAGATAAATATTTGATAGAATTTTATTCGTTACAATTTGAGGATGAATTACTTGAGTATAAAAAAAATGTGTATTACGATCAACGAGTATTACGATCAACGATCGAAGCAGGTTGACTCGTAGTGTAGTTTAGTCATTGCAATAACGGCAAAGTATATAAAACATCGCAATATATATCGAAACTGAATAAATTAAAATCATCAAACTTTTGCCAATAAATGGAAATTTGCGTTTTATATTGGCAACCGAGATAACAATATAGCACCGAAAAACATGAATCATATATATATATATTTATGAATGGGGAATTCTTTTTATATAATTCAGCTCTGAGCTTTACTTAGTTGGGAACAATGTAAACTACATTATTAAGTTCTGGCCAAGCTTGTTATTCATCCATTGTTATCCAATGAATATCGAAACAGAATGAGGTAGTGTTTCTCAGTGTCACAGTGTCCAATTTTTTAAAACTGGTTTTAACTTCAGAAATATTTGGTAATTGTGAAATTGAGTGCTAGAAAAGTTTGTTGCGACTACCGTTAATGGTGCGACTCCCTAATATGACATTACAATAAACGCTTTCAACTTATTGATTCCTTCGAACAGCAGGTTTAGCGGATGTCTGCATCATGCCTGTTTTCAATTTAAAAGCAGCTGTACAAAAATTCAGAATTAGGATACAGCAACTTCCTGCAGACGTAATATTGAAACTTGTTTGGCCATTGTACCCGAGGCATTTTTATCTGGCTAGAAAGCAGTTATTTTTTCGTTCAACTTAAATTTGTTTTATATTCTTCATTCATTTGTCTGCTCATAACTCGTATAGCTAAAGGATGCATATCATCTTCCCATTTGACCCATGAGGGGAAATAAAATACATGCTGGTAATAATAGCTCATGTAACACATGTCTACAAACAGTAGGCTGAAAGTGGGCACAAAGCTCTCAGAATGAGTTAGTAGGTGGTTAGGAATGGGCATTTTGGTCGTCAAAGTGATTTTTTATTAGTTCTCAACCAACCAACTTGCTTATATTGTCGTGTCGCCAATGTGATTGTGTAGAGAAGGTATTGGACTTAATTAAATTAAATCTATTTAAATTTTATTCCATAATGTTTCTATAGGGGCAATTCACTTCTTTTCGTAGGACTGTCGAGTATCCTCGTCGATCTAATCTACATCTGCTAATTCAATTCAGTGATCTCAGCGTACATGAAGCTGAGAAAATACCGTTGGTGGGTAATTTTCACTCGCGGTTTGAAAGTGATAAAAATCTGACAAGACACACCGTCAACATTTGTTCACAGTTCGAAATAGCACCATTGACAATGCGCGACGTTGGATTTGAACTTTCGAGTTCCAAGTGTTGTCGAAGCTTGTCAATACGGAAAATAAACATACACACGAAAGCATAGTTTATACAAGTAAAGTAGCTGGAGACTCTGGGACACAAGCCTAGTTTACCGAACAGTTTCGAAACTAAGCTATAATGTTTATAAGTCAGTAAGAGTAGTGATAATGAGATTGAAAATCAACAAGTTCAGACGGAATATTACAATGCTCTTTATGCTATGAATCAATCGATTCATTCTATATAAGATCGACATGTTTTCTGTACAGTAAAGTAGAGTCAGCAAACAAGTCGTCATCAGAACATAGAACGTCTAAAGGTCAATGTTTATTGGTGATCAAATGAAACTCGCATTGTGACTACGCGCACAGGTATGCATTTCAACAACAAATGTAGCTGTCGCAATCACATGGCTACGCGCGCACCGTCCACGTGTATTCGGGGTTACAACGCAATATATCAGGCACGTGATGATTCAATTCAAGTGATTAAAACATGATATAAATGTGTTTTGCAAACTACAGTTGGCTAAGCAAATAGAGGTAAAGTCGTCATAAATGTGCTAGTCGCTAGTACCTGTCACTTCTGCGTCCCTTTTTATTAAAAATCTAATCATAAAGTTTTCATGGCATTCAAACTCTATTTTTTGATCTAGTCCAATAAGTAGGTTCGATGTTTTCCTTCGGGCTTTTCTTCTTTCGAATCAAAGATTATTGGTACTTGGGAACTTAAAACATAAAAATGTAATGTTTTAAGTAAATATATGTCACAGAAGTACAATTATACAATACTGCGATGTTTATATGAGTCAGCATATCATTTATTACCAATCTATAAAAGATTATTTTTTCATTGTACATTCTTGTACATACACCCAGTACATACATACTGTTCACCTCCAGCAGTGCGTTATAAAGTATTTTACCATAATTGAATAAACTACGCGTTCCACAAAATATAATATGGGAGAGTAAATAAAATTATCTTAAAGTTAAATCTCAAATAAATAATAGAATAATGAAGAGTAAATTTAATAGCGTTATCACGCTTTCTGTGAAAAACACGCCCAAAATATATTGTTTAAGGATTCTTGCAAGTATGAGTTTGCAAAGCAATAAGAATATACCAAGAAATTACATTTGCTTCAGCAAATTTGAGTCTTATTGCAATGATCGAAAAGTTACTTCTCAGTGATGCCTTTGTATCCACGAATGTGTGCAAACTTCGAAACGGCTAGGATATTAAATCGACTGGGGTCATCCATCAGAAGTTGCGGCTTTGATGACGATAACAGGCATTGTATTGTAGGGTTGCGGTATATTGTTTGAAGATGAGCAGTTAAAAGAGAAAATATTTTTTGAGTTTCTCAATCATTCCCTCAAATAGCAATATAATACCTACAGTAAAATTATGGTGATGTCGCTGTTATACTCAACCCGAGATGGAATGTTGAGATGTTGATCCGAATATAGTCATAAGCGCTTTAGTCAGTATGCCAGATTGAAACATTATAATGAATAGGAGTGTCAGATGTTAACTGCAATGAGGAAGAGTGAAGTAGAATTTGTAATAATGTATTATATCAGCTTCCATCTGGATTCGACCAAGACGTCGGATTTCGGTGTATGCGTTTTGGGGCGCATATGCAGTCATTTTCTTTGTCGAACGGGCAATAAATTAGTCCGCCAAGACTAATATAAGATCAGAAAGTATTTATTCATTACAAAAGTTTGAATCCACTGCTGTAGTATACAGAAAAATAAACTTAGAATAAATTAATACAACATAGATTATAGAGAAACCCAATTAACTTTGTTGTTTTCGACAGTGCGTTTGTTATTGATAGATTGATTTTTTGTTTTGATAGTTGTGGCTTCACCTCGTGTTCCTATCTCAGCAAGGTAAATGAATATTGCGCTGGGTAATTTTTTCCCGTTTCAAATGAAATTTAAAATGAAATATTATTTGTTCCAATACTGTAATTTTATTTTGAACTGACCAGGTGGATGTCATCGGGTTCCGGCGACTGAGAATACAAGATATAGAACATTACTTAATAAAATTATATATTGAATACGATTACAAAGCGACTGTTGAACCTCCATTGTAATTGTGAATTGAGTTGAAACGAAAGAAATCCCTTAAATCAATCAATTAATCTTAAGATCGTTTATCTACCTGAAGTAATCTTTCTAAATCGTTCACAGATTGCACTGGTCGATATAGTGAAGGCGCCAGTGTTTTGGCAATATCGACGTAAAACAATTTCACGGACGGCGATTTTTTTTTCAAGAGACCACCATGCAACATTAGAAACTAATTTGATAAAAATGGACGGAAGTGCGCATACGAATCAGATGAATGAATGGTTTTTCGTTGTAGTGTCATACACCCTGACTAGATAGAAATTCATGCCTCGTAATACTGTCCCATTGCCCTTCAAGCGGAGATACGGTATGTGTTTCCAAATACACTCTCGTATTTTGTTATCTTAATGCGGTCAGGTTATGCAAGGTCAATCAATGTATTTCAGTCTAAATCAAAATTCAGGGCATACTTATTGAGATTTCGTCTTGAATCTGTGTCAACAACAGGAATTGGTGTTTTTCCATTGCAATATATAAAGCTTACTGATAGAAATATGAATATCCACGCTTGGTAATGTTATGTTACATTTGAGTTTTCTGTTTGTTTATAAGGTGTTCTACATATGTTGGATTACCGGTAGGTTAGCGCATAAAAGGTAACTTTGCACCGCATTTTGGCAGAACATACGATTGAGCTGCGAACTGAATACCTAAAGTTTCAGCTGTGATCTATATTAGTCAAATACGAGGATGGATGTCCGTTACAGACGAGCACTTTATACCGGCGAAAATTAGAATTCGCTTATCTACACTTGAGGTGATAATCGATGCAGCGGCTGATCTGACTTTTCGCACTTGAAGATTATGTCAGACGTATTTCCTAGAAAGATAACGTAATTCGTAGGTTCGACTGTATATTAGAGTGAAGAATGTGTATATCTAACAATCAGAAGATTTGGCATTGCATCAGATGGAGAGATACGAATAAAGTAAGGCGATAGCAAAAGTAGAAGTAAATTCTGCGGCAATGTAAGAAAATTTGTTTGATATAGAAAGGTTTGTTCATACGACCATCCAGTATGCATATATAATTTGTATTGTATTTCATGAAAACTCGAATACCAATTTTAAGCAAGACTTACTTTCGAAGATACCTACCATGTCGCTGTTGTTATAGTGACTATAGCTGTGGCGCGGATTTAGCGATATTTTGATACCTATATTATATATATACTGTTCGTTGCCTACGCCATGAATGTAACGTATTTTTTAAACAAATTAAAATTAGATAACGTTTTGCAGTTGTCTGTAATAGTTTTATTTCAACGGAAACGCGGTGGAACTTATTATTGTGTCGTCTGATAGGTTCGGGTCATAGAATTACCGCTCTGATTTACTTTCCTCAATTACTTTGCAAACTATGTAAAAATTGATGAATACAATCTGAATTCGATAGGCAGGCAACGTCCTCTCTCGGTATCAAGTTTCAGCCGATTTGTAATTTCCGTGCATTGAAAAGAAAGAGAACATTAGCATCACCGCTAAGAAGAAAGCTCTTTCCATCGCACATTTTTAACAAACTGTACAGTTGGTAGATTTTTTATTGAACTAGATCCAGTTTGCAAGCACAAGCAGAATCTGGAGTCCAGCTTATAATGCAGAGAAGTTTTATATGTCATGATTACATACTAGACTAGGGACAGAATTAATTTTGGTATTAGAGATTATTATTATCACCAGTTTGAGCAACAAAAAATGCCGTTTCTAATTAAACAAAATCATTCTATTCAAGCATTTGCAGGAGAAAATAATGATACAGGAAATCCGTTTATGGTGATAAACGGGCAGAAACTACGGGGAAACGATTTGTGTTCTTTTATCTTTTAATTTCATGGATGTATGTGTAACAAGCATGTAAATAGCCATACATGTAAAATACTATCAAAACTACTACACTGTAAAGATCTATGAAATATAATAGCGTGTTTGTTAAACGATCTCCAGTCCACTCATATTTATTTCAAGCAGTATTGTCCCTAATGAATCAATTCAATTACGTTGACGCACATGCGGTAACTATTGGATGAACCGCGCCATTCACACGCTTTATAAAGCTTTGTTATTCATTTAAACCCAGCTTCAAGACACGTTCTGTATCTTAACGACGCGCAGCATTAAGGTTTTATTATTACCTACTGAAGGCAAGTGAACTCCACTTCAGTGCTTTTTCAGACTCCATTTCGTAGTTTATCTATAGGGGTCGCTATATTGTAACCAGTTTACTTCGGTGATCAGAACAACTTGTTGCCTTTTTCATAATACATCGCCAACATCTACTTGAATATAATAATCCGTACTGCTCATACTGCCTAATTGTCGTCGGAAATTACTTGTTATTTGCTTAAAGGAAATGACAAATTTCCTGTCGATTTGTTGTTCGTGTAGTCTACTATGCTTAAAATTGTGTTTGCAGTATAATTAAAACTATCAAATAATTACCTCAATATGACGGAGCACGAACCTGTACCCGGTGACGCAGAGAAAGACGTCAACAGACCTGTCGTCAGTAGCAACGATGACATCCCAATACCAAGAGAAAAATGGGCTCGAAAAACTGACTTTCTCTTGTCGGTTGCCGGTGGCTTCGTGGGACTCGGAAATGTTTGGAGATTTCCTTATTTGTGTTACAAAAATGGAGGAGGTAAGTTGAATTCGCATAATAAATTCAAAACAAAGATTAGATTCCTAATCGAAAACGTAAATATGGGGTCAAAACGGTCATGCGTTCGACTTTCCTCTGTTTTTGTATAACTTCAATTCGTTGACACGCGTATTATCAATCATGAATCTTTGCTAACACCTCTGTAACATTTCTGGGGAAATTTGCAGCTTACCGAGTGTTGATCAAAGTTGAATGACCGTCAGATCTCGGCGGGCGTACTCCTAACACGGGCTTGGTTTTTGCATTTCTGTTTATAGATTCTATTCCCGTAATCATATATATATATATATATATATATTAATGACAAAATTCGAATTATCTAACACAAATTTTTGCCATGATGTAAACTGTAAAGTTTTTTGTCTTTTGCAAAAAATTTGTATATGCCAAATTCGTGGCCAAATTTTTATTGACAGCTAACGTCAACATGTCACGGACGAGCCAATAAATGAATCTGCCAACCAATACCATTTTATGATTTTAGTTTTACTTTTACCAGGTGCTTTCCTTATTCCATATTTGATTTTTATGATCGCTGGCGGAATACCGATCTTCTTTCTTGAAGTTGCTTTGGGGCAATATATGTCCGAAGGAGGCGTCACGAGTTGGAGATTGGTTCCAATTGGCAAAGGTAGCAAGATTTCTATATTAATTTGCAATCATATTCTTGTACTTTTCTCGAACTGAAGTTGGTATGCTCGGTTTTTATTAATATTTTGTTTCTTTAATACTATTTTGATTTAGCAGATCATAGAAAAAATGTGGCAATATATCGTTTAGAAGAATTGTAAGCAGTGTATTCTATCATTTGTAAATTTGATTGGTTAATTAGGACTAATATTTTCACTGTTGTCGAGAAAGTTAAATGACTGTATTTTGCCAGGTTTGTTTGTTGTTTATCTTTGAATTTTCAGTGAATGTAAAGTCTTTGATGGAACACATAAGTGAACATCGATTTGATTAAATAATGATATTTATAATCAAATTTTGATAATAATAATTTTTTCTCAGGATATCAAATTAAACACGGTTCATTCGTTATTTATATTGCTTGAATGATGCCACAAATTTAGATTTATACACTGGAATAAAATTTCCCGTTTCTTTTAACAAATATATTCATCATAGAATATTCTAGTACTGTAATGTAATGGTGATTGATCTTACATGATTTTGTATGCAATCAACATTTTGTACTACAAAACAGATTTTATTAAAATTTGCTTCCCAGTCTGTGACTTCAGTAATCAATTGAGGTAACAATGGAATTTTTGCAAACGCATAATTCGTAAGCTAGCTAACACAAACTTCCTAGAAATGGTGTCTGTACTCCTTTCAGTTGCACGTAATGTATTGCAAATGAACACTTGCTGATATTGAGATTATAAAGTACTGTTTAACACGAAATGGTTTTAAGAAATTGGTTTATACTTAGTTTGCTGCTAAGCTTTATTTTCGATTACTTGAGAGCACGAAGGATACTTGTTTGATAAATGCTATGTTGATGTGAAAGATCGGTTTTTCCAACCCCGTGAATATGGAGTCATTCGGTTCAGTATAAGAATTCTGTAGGGAACTTTACAATATAATATAAATATAGCTGCACTTTTGTATGATCTTCTACCGATTTTATCGGCCTAACGGAATAATAGAATGTGAAAACTTGAAATGATTTTTCGTTTACCATTATGCCACAAGCAGGGTTCGTAAGTTGCCTCTGACATGTGGAGGCATTATTCAGAGAATCACGGTGGAGTAATAATATGATATTTCTATAGGAATCGGTTACGCGTCCATGGTGATTGTTAGTCTTCTCAACATATACTACATTGTGATACTGGCGTGGGCTGTCTTCTACTTGTTCCAAAGTTTCACGGCAGATTTGCCGTGGGCTGATTGCGGACATTATTGGAACACTCCATGCTGTCTCGAACGTCCACAAGATATATATTTGTGGACTAATGCAAGCAGCTCTTTCAACAATACCACGCCAGTACCGCAAACCAATTCCTGGTCAACAGCAACCACGGCGACCTGGACCAATTCAACGGAGGCCCTGTTGCCAGATTACAACTTCACGCTGTGCGGGGAAAACTTCACCACACCTGAAACCGAATTTTGGGAGTCAGTATTTCTCTGTAACTCGAGCATGAAGTTTAGACGTGTTATATTATATCAATATGTTTAACTTTAGTATTTCTTTTACAGCTGTTCGAAGTGTAATTGACTTTACATCCATGAATGAAAGTAGTTCAAATCATATCTAAGCGACCACCCTAACGTAAACACCATTACAATTGTGACGACCCAATTCAGCCGTACATTGCCTTTGTCTAAGTCAAAGTTATATTCCTCAACTATTTACCTTAGCTTTACAAATCACGTACTGAATGAAACCCGCAGACATTATGAATGAACGCCTTTGTATCATCTAATGGCCGGCCCTTCTCCCAGTTAAGCTGTCACGGCGATTACTTCGACCCGGTGGCTGTAGCCTACCCTGTCAGCTTATATTACGTGATCACTAACATTCCTACATTTCTTCATTTTATATTTGTGTTCTACATAAATTTGATGACGATGCAGACGAAGAGTGCTAGGATTGTCTTCAGGACTTCATGAAATAGGGACAGTACGATGGGAACTTGCATTGTGTCTTCTTCTATCTTGGGTCATCTGCTACTTTTGTATTTGGAAAGGAGTGAAGTCCACGGGCAAGGTAGACTACACGTGATTTAAATGATTTTCTATTCATATCCACTGATGATATTGCTTTCCCGCGTGAATTCAAATGTGTCAATAATATTCAGTTGTGGTTAATTAAATATTTAAATTAAAATGAGATTGATATGAATTTTGTGAAATTTAATCTGGCGACGAAGCGAAATGAAACAATCAGCATAAAATTGTGTAGGACTTCTAATTGGTACCATTAAAAAAGATTTGTATTTATATCCCTACAATCCCGCCATCGTGGCCAGTTCATCCCGTTATATTTGACTTTTACTCTTTTAGGTTGTATACTTCACTGCAACGTTTCCATTCCTCATGTTGATAATACTTCTCATTAGAGGCGTTACATTACCAGGTGCTGTAGTAGGAATCAAGTTTTATTTGACTCCAGATATGGACAGACTTAGAGACCCACAAGTAAGAATTTATCAAAACGATGAAACTATATATTAGTTTTCCATCTATTGGGTGGAGCGAAACCCCAATGAACCAGAGACTTTGAGAAACCTGTGAAATTGTCTGAATTGTATAAATTATAAATATATATATATATATGAAAGAAAGTCTGGCAAACCACTGGAGCGCTGTGTAACCCAGGTTGAAAACCACTGCTCTGTATATTTTATACCACTTCCTTGTTAGCTCATATTTACCATAGTAAGAATTTACATCCATACTCTATGCCCAATTCATACCCATAGTCCAGTTCACATTCAAAATTAATTTTTAAAATAAAGGTTGATCACTAAAATAAAATAATGATATCGATTTGCATTTAATCGGCTATATAAATTCTGTACCAATACCAGAGGCAACAAATTTTACGGGGAATTTTCCACTGTCGTTAATAGTCCTAAATATTTCCTCCGCCGAGAGGAATAATTCAATCGATTTTTAAATGCGTAATCTCTTCGTGGCTGAGTGAGCATTTATAGAAAAAGATCAACGAATTAACTAATCTTTTAATATAAATATGTCTTCTGTCAGTGGCAGACAAAGGATGATACGTACTGGGTTTTTAATAAATAAGGTCTATTTCAGTGAATGGATAAAAGGTTTTGGAATTGCATGGTCGCAGATGTGACTGCAATTTCAATGCTCACTCCATTCTGCCATATATGTAGTACAGTTCTTATTGTCTGATTAAAACTGAAATACCGGCCATATATTGTTTACGATATACACATGTTTAATACTTCTATTTAACAACATTTAACGTAAAATTACAAGCATTTTGATCGTAGCAAATGAATAGTTTTATCAGTATGTATACAACACAACAAAGGGAGTGTCATGTATCGGTACCATTTACCAAAACAAGGCTGTTTGTAGCCAATCCTTTCTGTACCGCATTCGCCTAGTACTATTTATTTAAAATTAAATTGATATTAAATTATCAAATATTCATCATTTAAACATACTTATGGCATGGGGGTCAATAACATTTGGTTCAAGCCTTAAAAATTATTAACTGGACATCATGTTGTCGTTATTTTCCACCTTTTTAAAAAAAAAATGCTTTGTATCGATATATGCGTATAGAGACAAGGTATATGCATAAATAGCATATCTACGTGCATATGTAATAGATAGATATCCACATACGTTATTGCCTTTCGAGTAATACGTATATAATCCAATCGATAAATATGCATATACAGAAAAGACATTTTATGCATATGCCGGCAATTGAGTAACATGCATATACGAAGAATTTTAGCGTGTAAAACGAGAAAAATTTTTCAGTTTAATTGCTAAGTATCGAGTAATTTTCCGTCGCACACACTTAATATCACAGAATATGTGTGAAGCATAGAGATGGAAGCACTGTCAACAGTATTGTTGAAAATGTATAACCGTGTTTTGGTGTAGTACAAACTATTACTAGTTCAATTTAATTCCCAATATTCATAAAAAATAGAGATAAATTAATAAAATAACATGTTTTTCACATGTAACATCTTTCTAGGTTTGGTTGGACGCAGGAACACAGATTTTCTTTTCATATGCAATCTGTCTTGGAGCGATGGTGTCCCTTGGAAGCTACAATAAATATAACAATAATTGTTACAAGGTTGGTTAACGCATATATATATATATATATATATATATACAGATTACCACAGTCGATGGATTCCATATAGACGTTTATCAATGAATAATCCATTATATATATATATACCATATTATCTCCGCCTGTTCAAGACATGTGCAGCGGTGCGGTTGCGGAAGCCTGTAAAACCGTAATATGATTCCCTGTGCTACAAAGCCACAGTGTAAATTGATGGCTCTGACTTCGCACACTGTTGTACACGACACTAAGATAATACAAACACATACATCAATGAATAAGAGCCAATTTCATTCCAGCACACATGCCAATAGAAAACACTGCCTTGATCTGGCATGCTCAGTTATGACAACCCCGATAAGATCATTCAGTCACAATCAATTGCTTATTTTCTCTCTGTTTTTGTTTACCAAATATTGTTTATCGTTTCAGGATTGTGTTGCTCTCAGTCTTGTGAACTCTGGTACTAGTTTTATCAGCGGATTCGCAATCTTTAGCGTTCTTGGATTTATGGCAGAAGAACAAGGCGTACATATATCTAAAGTTGCAGAATCAGGTTTGTTTTAATGAACGCGTATGACAAATGATTTAGCCTAATCTATCTAATAATTTTGTTATGAAAAAAAAATCCATGATACTCCAAAACCAAATGTAAAATCATATTCTGATAGTAGTGTTACTCATTTTCAGGACCAGGGCTGGCTTTTATTGCGTATCCAAAGGCTATAACACTGATGCCATTACCAACATTGTGGGCGATTTTATTCTTCATTATGCTGCTTTTGCTTGGACTTGACAGTCAGGTATTTATTTCTATAATTCCTTGTATTGGTGATATCGTGATCGTCAGAATGTGAATCGATAAAGACAGAATGTTTTCATCTGTAATTCAAATTTTCGTTATTTTTAATTCAGTAAAATGTATAATATGAAAATATTTGGAACGCAACCTTCTAACACCTATTTTCTATTTCAGTTTGTTGAAGTCGAAGGTTTTGTTACATCGTTTGTTGATCTGTATCCAAATCAGCTTCGTCGAGGACACAATCGTGAGATTTTCATCGGCATTGTATGCGCCGTCTCATATCTCATAGGATTACTTATGGTCACCAATGTAAGCTTACATATCTCTCTATTTTGTATATCTAGAAACATACGTTCCTGGCATACCAGGTTAAATGTATCAGACTCATTCGTGCATGCACCGGCCGCCTTTAACGCCGGGAGGCGGTCGGAGGGTGTGACAAGAATACGCGTCGACAGTTGGTTCGATGCATTATACCTACATGTCACACTCAAATAGATTAACTTTATTAGTTTCATAATTAAACGCTTAAGTCGCTTCATTACCCTACGTGGTAAGGTTGACAAGAATTTCTGTTTCCAGTAGACGAGTTAATTCAAGGCTCTTTCAATATATTACATACTGTAGTTCGTTTTAAGTATGATCCCACCAAGTTCACGAAATTAACAACAGTTCAACTAGATTTATATGTGATTCGGGTGTTTAGTTTCGTCGTGGGTGAAACACTGTAGCGACTAAAATAAACAAAAACCGCCGATAACATTATTTATCATGCCTTGATAGAATGTCCAACAGAATTTAACAATATTGGTACCTAAACTTTCGAAGCAATGTCACTAATAACGTAGAAATGATTATGATATATAACTGCTCAAAAAATATGAATATTATCGAAATACAAAAAAAAAATGTTTACATTAAATATGAATAATCTAACGGCTACGTATTACAAGAAAACAAAACTTTACAGACAAAAAACTACACGAGTACTGCATGTACAGTGTGGTTTAAATTTGTCACGTATTCTATTCTGTAACGTTTTGTCTATAATCAAAGTCAGATTTCTTCAGAAAAGTAGATTAAAGCTAAGGACTAGGAAAAAAAGAGAACTTAGGTTTTGATATTTTAGTTGGAAATATCTCAAGAAATTTGTTGAGATTGCGATTAAACTTAGTTTTGGGGCGAGGATTATTGTTTTCCACTTTTGCTTTTGTAAAACACTATAAATATTGTTCATAAAATTTTTACGTCACACTCACATGACCCGCCAGTCTAGGGGGGCAAAATTTTTGACCCCTGGTTCAAAAACTTTTCTGACCCCTGTCCTAAGCACACGATTTTCCAACTAACCAGATATTCAATTCATTTTATTTCCAGGGAGGAATGTATGTTTTCCAACTTTTTGATTACTACGCAGCAAGTGGAGTTTGTCTTTTGTGGGTTGCGTTCTTTGAAGCAATCGCAATTGGCTGGATTTATGGTAAGTTATTTGATGTTCTATTTTATCCTAATTTCTAAAATACGAAATAGTTTAACAGCGTTAGCTAATACTTTTTATAGGATTTATAATTATTTTATGTTAATTGTCGCTTCGACGTACTTTGGCGAAAACACTTTTAATATGTATTGTTTGATTTTTAATGCTAGTATTATTCATTGCCAGGCCTAATCAAGAGGATCGCTGCTCGATCGGCGATAACCAGTATTGGTTTAAATGAGGGGTGTGCAACTTTAATTACAGGGTGGCCATATACAGACCGGGGGCCGCACCTTTATTCAACATAAGCTTTCTAGTAGTTGCAAACACAAAAAAGGCATTGTAACGTCATAGATAATAAATTTAACTCTGGTATAAGGTTTGCAACGCAAAGGGAATGGAAATACTCGCTCGTACCAGATTGAACTAAATTAAAAACTCATTTAGCGGGTCGCACACCATTCAAAATTAGCACTTCTCCGTTGGCCGCTGAATGTTTCCTTGTGGGGGCTCAATTGGCCCGATGGCCGCAGGTTGCACACCCGTGGTTTAAATGAATAAATTTACTGACAACTGTAGTATTTCAAAGCTGTAGTGCAGGGGTTCTTAACCTTTTTTCTGTCAAGTACCCCCCGAGTCACGAAACAATCAACGCGGACCCCCAGTAATCAGACACCGAACAAAGTTGTGATATATAGGGCTGGGCATTTTCGAATACCTTGTGATTTCAGAATCGAATCGAATAATTTTTTCGAATCGAATCGAATCTCGAATACTTCAAAATATATAATTTTAACCGACTTTATTATAGTATAATTGGTCCTCTTAACAAATGAATTACTGAAGACATAGAATAAATCACTCAGATAGATTACTGAGCGTTCACAAAGAATAACAAATACGTTTTATCAATAACTCACTACAGAAAATAATCATATGTTAGAATTTCGTTGAAAAAATATGACTCCGATGAAAAAAAAATTGGGGAATTCACCTCGACCATTAACGGAAAGATAAAAACAAGATGGCGGCGATTCGAAATTGAGCTCTGAACCGATTCGAATAATTTACTATTCGATTCGATTCGAATATTCGATTTGAAATGCCCAGCCCTAGTGATATACTGATATATTGACTAACAATTTGTTTCAACGCCAATTTATTGACCATATGTAAGTAAATTAAATCGTCTTGTTGATATTATTGCCTTTGTCGCCTGCCTAACTAATGAATTCTCAAAATCTCTCCCAAGTTTCAATAAGCATAATCACTTTTCCAATGGTCGCAGCACGCTGTCTTTAGAGATTTCACAGTTTGTACGCAAAGTCTTGAATTTCACATTGTTGCATGACAATCATAACAACGCAAGATCAGGTAAAATTTACGTTTCAATGGGCACGCATTTTCTCGTGGTTTTAATAAAGGATATCAAAAAAAGCAACATACAAACACTCGACTGTCATCCAAGTACCCCTGGAAATCTTCTCGTTAACCCCTGGGGGTTCGCGAAACCCCAGGTTGAGAACCCCTGCTGTAGTGTATCATATACAGGTTTTGCAATGTGCAAAATGTTTATGTATTTGCCGACCAAAAACTTAACACTAATTAATTGGTTTTTGTTGTTAAAGAAGCAATAAATTTAATACACTATAATTAGTAAAAATAAAATATTTTCATTGCAGGAGCTGAACGAATGTGGACAAAAATCACAGATATGATCGGATACCGTCCATTTCCCGTGATAAAATACCTCTGGATTATATGCACACCTCTTCTCACAACTGTAATTCAAATACTTTATTTCTGTACCAAATCAAAACTTGTCATTTCAGTCTAAATAGTTTTAATGATTTTTCATCATTTGTTTTTTATTGAATTAGTTTTAAAATTATTTAATCTTTTTTTTATGCAGGGTACATTCATCTATTCAATGGTCAATTTCAAGCCCCTTGTTTATAACAACGTATATGTATATCCAGCATGGGGTGAAGGAATTGGATGGGTTCTTGCTTTGAGTTCGATTGTTTTTATACCAGGATTTGCCATCTATAAACTCCTTACAACATCTGGAACATTAACGGAGGTAAGAATAATTTTAACATAATTTTAAACGTATACGAACGTACACTAAATGCGTTTTAGGAATAGGAATATATATGAATAAAAGGTACTTCCGTAGTGTGTGTACAAGGTTAGAGTTGGGCTATAATTTTATTCCGATTTTCCTCATTTTAGTTCTATTGAGAGTTTCGGGACTGTCTGTTTCAGCCAAGTGGATATACCCCCTGCCCATAGGTTTTAGTGTCTTTACACAACTTGATGTAAAGTAGGCGAACAAAATTAGTTACCTTCATATTGGTACACACACTTCTTGTTCTTGGGTGCCGAACAAGATATATATGAGGAATACAATTATTGTTTCATTGAAGAATTGGTTCAATGTACTTGATTCGACATACATGATCCATAACGCTTAGGCTCCTTGAGCTTGAAGGACTGGGATTCACTCGTTTCTGCATTTAATATATACTACATCGTGAATGAATTAGTTACACTATAGGGTACTTGATTGAATTCGGTGAGCCATTTAGTGTTCTGTCATTTAATTAGAATCATTCCAAAGCAAGGATTATGATGAAAATTTAACGACGCCATAAGTTTATCTTTTAATCTAGACAAAATTGATCGTACTACTGAATACCATTTGAATGCTTAGTACAATTTTGAAACGCTTTTGCGCATTCAAACAGAATAGGAATTAATCAGTCCTATTTTGTACTAATATATTTTGTACAAAGTCAAAAATCTTTTATCAAAATGATTGTTTGGTAACTAAATATTATGTATTTACAGCGCTGGGAATATTTAACAACTCCTAGACTCCGTTCAAACCATCCGGACTTCGGTGAGGACAAAGCCGATGAACTATCAAAGATAAGATATGACGTTTGTGATGGAAATGATTGGATACCTACAGATAAGAAAGCCCCCGACAATATATCTGATCCTGAATCCCTCCCACCTGCGTACTCCACTGAATTTTAAAAACTTTTTTTTATTTTTTTGTGATATTTTTGTTGGTAATTCATGAAATACCTTACTTTTCACTCCACATTAATCTCAAATCCCTCGATTGATCACCTAATTGTGGTCTAGCAAATATAAGTATGGCTGAAACGTAAACACATTTACAGTATATACGTACCAAAGAAATCCACATGGTAGAAAAATATTGACTTATTTTCAAATGTTGTGGCTATTTTAGACAGTTTCACATCTCTGAAAATTATTGTCTCGGATATTTTTTTGTAGTTTGAAGATTTTCGGGCTTTACTGCCTTCTAAGACTAACAACTCTCCTTAAGCTATTTATCTCGCCACGCAAGAACCTTTTTCTAATCAAAATATACATTTGAAGACGAATCGTTCACATTCGAATTTGAAGTTGTTATTAAATACTATTTCTTCAACGTTTATTCTCACTGTACTAATTCAAAATACACGTAGTGAAAATTCGTTAAAGTGACTTATAATATTTTTTGCTAGCATCCCATAGTAACTTTTCTATATGCCCACTTTCTTCTATACTTAAACGGGTCTAGAAGGAACTGCTTGGCTGGAAAATATCAACTTGTTTCCTGTTTTTTCGCATACTACACACTCGAATTACTTTTCGTATGACCGTATCACCAAGGGCATATAATAAATAATTAGTATATTTCATTTAGATACGATAAAAACAGTCATTAAATGCGTTTTATAAAGGTAGCTTATCCATAATTTCCAGATATATTTTTTGCAAACTTGCGGTTCATCCACGTTTTTCCATGTATTATTATCCTAATTTCAATAACTAAAAAAAATTCTTTACTATTAGAGACCATTAACACGTTCGAATTTGTGGCAGAAAATTTTTCACCTGATCATAATTCTTCATATTTTTCTCAGCTCAATTTCCATACTCTTCAATATATGTCATTTTGTACCATAGCAACAGTTGAATAGATTTACCGTGCTTTTATAAATAAAGACGAAGTAGCTTATATGTGTATTTTATGAATGAATTAGGGAAGATAATTGAAGACTGAAACACCGATTTTATTATTGTTGTGAAATTTTCATTTGCAGCCATAAAAATCAGTTAACAGTGTGATAACCGTTGCGTCTTATGGCCGGGATGTGACTCGTGTACGAACCAAACCCCAATTTAAGCTATTTATTGACGGTGTGTCTTATGGTCCCTAAAATACGGAACTCAACATGACAAAATTATTTATAAAACCCATAAACATATTAATTAACAAAAATGAAAACACCAAATGGCTTTACCCGCCCCTGGCTGTAATGATAGGTGATATGTAGTTCCAGAAATATTCATTAAATGCAATTGCAGAGAACATTTGCCGCATGGGGGCTGCTTAGTTTCAGCAATGCTCACAGGACATTATATTGAAAGTCAGCTTTGTCATGCACACACCACAGATGTACAACTGTAACTCAACTTGCTCATACATTCCATAATGTATCTTCATCGGTTTTGTAGTTGAAATCACGCGACTTTAATTATATATTTTAGTGCAATTTTGCCTTATTTTAGCATACTGGTGGGAATATTCACTGATCCACACATCCAAGTATAGACTTTAGTCTAGTGTCTTGTCTATACCATTTAAAGACTGTCCTCCGCGGGATCGTTGACCGCTAATGGCAGTTGAGGGGGACGCTGGAGGTAAAAGATTTTTGTGGTTTCAGATTGCGAGCTTACATAATCGTCAGGCTTGTTCATGGGAATGGGATTCCCGTGGGAAACGTCCCATGAAATGGGATGGGACAGCACACATTTGTATTCGTGGGACACAAAAATCGTGTGGTTTTCGGGGAAATGGTGGTAAAACATTTCGTTATAGATTTCGCGTTCATATATTTGAGCATAGCTATCTTGTAAGTTATAAAGAGCAAAATATATAGGCATAATTGCTATGGGATGGGGACAGAAAAATATGTTCCGTGGACATGCTTGATAATCGTCGTATTAGGGAGTCGGAGCGTGAGTTGCATGATTAATAGACCATCGTAAGTGAACTCAACGCCCTGACCTCCAGTAACTCACACCCGTGTCTGGGTTGTCCCAACTTTTTTGAAGAAATACAGAGGGGAGTTGCAAGCATAGGAAGGTCAGGCCAGTGTTTGCTCATCTTTTTTTTCGGCATAAATTTTCACTTATCCAATATTAAGTCATTTTCAAACTAGCGAGGAAGAGGAAATAAAACCGCTCAAAATTTTACAAAACTTCATTGTATTATTCAATTATTAATAATTATTGTTTCAAACAGTTGGCGGAATAAGTGAACTTGTCTAAATTTGTGAAACTCTACCACTTCAATTTTGAAAACAAAATACTTTAATTTAGATTAATTGTGAAGTTTTTAGATAATAATGCCTTCATGTTTTGAAAATAATAGGAAAATATCGATATACAAATTTTTCTAAGCAACAGCAAATTTAAAAATTATTAATTTTTTCTCTATTTCGGATCATTTTTTTTTTTATCATAAACACCTTTTATTTAAATGAAAAACAATCATAATTTCATATACCATTAATTTGACCATGTGCCCGCCTCTCGCGAACAGAAATGGTTAAGACGACGGGTTTTCTGGTGACAGGACATTTTATTACAGCTTTAGTTTGCAATGCAAGATGCAATTGTAAGGTGTTTCAAGTGGTTACATGTCCACCAGTCAAAGCACGCTTCTGTGGTCAATTTAAGCTATTTATTGACGGTGTGTCTTATGGTCCCTAAAATACGGAACTCAACATGACAAAATTATTTATAAAACCCATAAACATATTAATCAACAAAAATGAAAACACCAAATGGCTTTACCCGCCCCTGGCTGTAATGATAGGTGATATGTAGTTCCAGAAATATTCATTAAATGCAATTGCAGGGAACATTTGCCGCATGGGGGCTGCTTAGTTTCAGCAATGCTCACAGGACATTATATTGAAAGTCAGCTTTGTCATGCACACACCACAGATGTACAACTGTAACTCAACTTGCTCATACATTCCATAATGTATCTTCATCGGTTTTGTAGTTGAAATCACGCGACTTTAATTATATATTTTAGTACAATTTTGCCTTATTTTAGCATACTGGTGGGAATATTCACTGATCCACACATCCAAGTATAGACTTTAGTCTAGTGTCTTGTCTATACCCTTTAAAGACTGTCCTCCGCGGGATCGTTGACCGCTAATGGCAGTTGAGGGGGACGCTGGAGGTAAAAGATTTTTGTGGTTTCAGATTGCGAGCTTACATAATCGTCAGGCTTGTCCATGGGAATGGGATTCCCATGGGAAACGTCCCATGAAATGGGATGGGACAGCACACATTTGTATTCGTGGGACACAAAAATCGTGTGGTTTTCGGGGAAATGGTGGTAAAACATTTCGTTATAGATTTCGCGTTCATATATTTGAGCATAGCTATCTTGTAAGTTATAAAGAGCAAAATATATAGGCATAATTGCTATGGGATGGGGACAGAAAAATATGTTCCGTGGACATGCTTGATAATCGTCGTATTAGGGAGTCGGAGCGTGAGTTGCATGATTAATAGACCATCGTAAGTGAACTCAACGCCCTGACCTCCAGTAACTCACACCCGTGTCTGGGTTGTCCCAACTTTTTTGAAGAAATACAGAGGGGAGTTGCAAGCAATGGGAGGTCAGGCCAGTGATCGCTCATCTTTTTTTTCGGCATAAATTTTCACTTATCCAATATTAAGTCATTTTCAAACTAGCGAGGAAGAGGAAATAAAACCGCTTAAAATTTTACAAAACTTCATTGTATTATTCAATTATTAATAATTATTGTTTCAAACAGTTGGCGGAATAAGTGAACTTGTCTAAATTTGTGAAACTCTACCACTTCAATTTTAAAAACAAAATACTTTAATTTAGATTAATTGTGAAGTTTTTAGATAATAATGCCTTCATGTTTTGAAAATAAGAAAATATCGATATACAAATTTTTCTAAGCAACAGCGAATTTAAAAATTATTAATTTTTTCTCTATTTCGGATCATTTTTTTTTTATCATAAACACCTTTTATTTAAATGAAAAACAATCATAATTTCATATACCATTAATTTGACCATGTGCCCGCCTCTCGCGAACAGAAATGGTTAAGACGACGGGTTTTCTGGTGACAGGACATTTTATTACAGCTTTAGTTTGCAATGCAAGATACAATTGTAAGGTGTTTCAAGTGGTTACGTGTCCACCAGTCAAAGCACGCTTCTGCGGTCACTTGGTGTATGTTAATACTTTGGCGATATGCTATACTTCCTTATTTTATAATGAGACTATTTTATGCATTTTATTCATTCATCGCGTTTACTGTTCATTGAGGTAATGGAAAGCTGTGCTGTGGATCAAACCACTTCATCACCGGCTTAATCATATGGCGGTAGCGCGGACTTTGCGAGGGTGCAGCAAGACATTCGAATCAGATTGATCATCACCATTTATAATCGGAGCGAATGCCAAAAGAGTCACTTGTCAAAAGGTAATGTACTGACAATCAATGATAACTCGCATTCCTCAAATATTCTCCCGTACGCAAAACACCTCACCATTGATGAATATCATGCATATGCACCGAAATAGTGTCCTCATAGAGGTTTTTTTTTTCTGGGTAATAGCATGGTCTACAGCAGTGGTTCTCAAACTTTTTTAGTCCCAGAGCCGCATTTCAAATCTCAAAGTTATGAAGAGCCGCACACAAACAACGCAAGGTAAAATAGCAACAAACCTTAAGCGCGTATTTAAAATACCAAGTCATCGTAACAACAACACAGGTAACAACTAGGGCTGGGGAAAATATTCGAATAATAAAACATTTGAATGGCATTTTACCATTCGAATATCCAGTACCACGTGACCTGCGCCGCTCTGCTTGGACACCGAACTCGAAGTTGTTTTCTTTGCGTTATGGTGTTATATGCTTAAATCTGCACTTAGCGTATCGTTTCAATTCCATATTTTGCAAAAAAAACGTACCCACCGTTGCGTAAATTTAGAAACGCCAAACCAGATTAGGTATTTGAAAAAAATTTCCCAGATTTTAAACTCCGCATGCTTGGTGGCATGTCATTAGCCATTTCTTGCATTGCCGGACATAATGTTGATAAAAATAATGTTAAAATGACTTTTCGGCGTTTCATTGTAAGAAAGACGATTTTAGGTTGTTAGAAAACTCTAGTTATATAAATAGCATAGATTTAAAAATGACCAAAAGTTTTTCCAAAAGCTGGTATGAGTTACTTTTATGAAAAACACTCATTAAGTTGTAACCAGATGAGAAATGTCATGTCCTACTGACTTTAAAGCACTTTGTATTAGCTCTTTATTAATCCCTCTCATTCTTGGCCAAGTAATGTTTCGAATATGAATATTTTACTCGACCATGCAAGGCCGTTGAGCCAAGAGTAGAACGTGAAATCAATCGTGAATTTCGTTGTAACAATGTACATTGACTCGTTCACGAATTGTTGCGTCTATTATCATCGAAAATGAACACAATTTCTAAATTTTGAAGCATTTTTGTTTTAATGAAAAAAAGAAAATTTAAAAAACTTGAAGGAATTAGTTCAGAATTATAATAAGCGTCTGACCCTCTATTAGGCACAAATGCCTTTATTGCCAATTTATTTAATCGCCATTTTAAATCAACATTCAGGATTCAAGCAATCGTAAATTTGCGAGGTATTCAACAGCTGTCGCTGATGTGAACGCAAGGGTATACTAGAAATATGAAACTTCGATATCTGGCGACCCCTTATTTTTGCAAAACACGAGAAAGGGCGGGAATATAGAATACCAACTATAGGATATCGCCGCCGAAGATCGCGGTGACAAACACGATCAGCGATTATGATGAAATTAACCATTATGAAACGCTTTATTGCCGACTTTTCAAAGTTTTTGTTAATTTCCAAATGGAGTATCGACCTCCGACGTTCCGGATCCCTGTTATGTATAAAAAATATTCATTATTTGACTATTCGGTATTCATTAAAAATATTCAAACTATTCGATTCGAAAAACGATTTGATTTTGCCCACCTTAGACTAACAGCCATTTAATTTGGCTTTGATTTCTAATAAGTTGGTCAAAGCGGGTCGTAATCGTGGCGGATGCAAGGTGCAGTAGCTTGTTGAGATGATCGCCAGGTATTTCAAGACTATTTTTCGATTATTGAAACAAAATTAAAATGCTCTAGAAAATAAAATAATCATTGAGTTATTTTGATTTATACATAATATTCGGAAATGCGACAAAAACTGAAAATTCCCAAAAGCAAGCCAATGATTACAGCCATGTCTAAAATCTTTTCAAGTGAAAAGTGTCCGAGTGGCCGCGAAAACGCTTACTGCTGCGTCACTATTGCATCTTGTAGAATAGTCAACGCTACGCAAATAAATACGGGGAATCCATTCGACTAACTAATCGACTTCCGCATTTTAATTTCAAGTCAATAATAAGTTTTCGATTAAAAATTTTCTTTGAAAGTAAATATTTTTTAGAGCATTTTAACAAGAGCCGCAGGCGGCTCTCAAACCCTAGTTTGAGAATCACTGGCCTACAGCCCTACAATTGATTGTTTCAAGACATTTTGAAGAAATCCACCAATATTACAACGAGTGTGAAATCTTGTATTAGAAAGAAAGATGTCGAGGAAAATACAAGAAGGTCTCAAAACACATCAAATATATACGATCCTGAATCATTTGTACAGAGATATTTTCATGAAATGTGTTGCACCACTTGCACTGAAAATAGCATTATTATTAATGGTTAATTCAAAGGATTACATGTTGGAGATAAAAAGATTTCAACGTGTAATCACAAATCCTGATAAGCATAGAATTTCATGTATTATTCAAGTACCAGTACATGATGGTAAACATCGTGGTACTTTTGCCAAATTTTTGTGTTTTGAGTTCTTTCAATAGTAGTGATTTTAAAGTAAAATTTTACTACATGGAGTCACATAAAACATAAGTGAATACATAAACACCAAACTTTATTACTCCTTTAACCTGTATACAAATAGCCCTGTCCTTGGTTGGATTAACAGAAAATGTAAGCGCCCACAATTTGGGAGGATCCACTGGCATTAAAAACTACTGGTTAAAAACAATAAAAATGATTCAAATATGGTGAATAGGATTTTCATCTTCATTCGGAGAGATGAAACCAGATATGATGGCTTAATCATCATGGCGTCTCATCCTTTAACATTCACATTTATTGATAGTTGACCATTTATCTGTTTCAGATGCATTGGACTTGATAAAAATGTGAACATTTTTGAAGCTGGAAAAACAATTTCTCAAAATCTTTTCAAAATCTCTTAGCTGTCTTCATCAAATCTTATAAAGTAAATTTGATTCTTCTGTGTACCAGTACTACTCAACTACATACTTGGCACAGATCTATGAAGATACCCTGCTATTTACTTCATATTATTCAGTTTCTTCAATAATATAACCTTCTTCAAATTTAGAACTTCCATTTTTGCTTTGTGTTCCTTTTCCATGAATTCCATTTTCATGCGTATTTTCGTCAAGTCTGCCAAGTATAAATTTCGGTCATCAGATGCGTAAGCGTGATCCGAACGAGACACTCTTTCAAAGTCAGCATTAGCAATCGGTCCAATTTTTTCATCTCCTGTTTCCTCTATGGTCACTATGATTGGCTATAGAAATAAAGATGTACAATTCACTGAACTAAAAATCTCTGATTTATCCAAAATCTCATGCTTTCTGGAATCTTCATTCTCATATTTATCCCAGGGGAGAGGAAAGTGACTAAAACAGCTCAATCATATGGCAAGCCACGACTTCTCTTGCAGTCACCAGTTTATATCAGGTGTGAGAAAATTTAGACCATTTTTTCGATTCAGATGCATGGAAATGATGGTGGAGAGGCAGCCCTAACATGAATTACACCATGACTGTGAGGAGTCCAGCAATCCTCTTGCATATAATTATCCCCTCATGGGATTCAAGCCTATGAACCTGTGCCGCATAATCGGAGATGCGAATGCAAGCGTTAGTCTAACACTTTGCATGATACACCATACTGATGAGCCACTAAGCTATTTCCCTGACAGTATTACTTAATTTGTTTAAGGTGTAATTTCAATCCACAAGAACAAACTTGGGCCACATCTGATTAGGTATAGATGTTTTGAGAGCAACTTTGAAAATTTCTTTGAAACAACAAGAATATAGTAAACTAAATATAAGCCAACTACAGATTAAATAAAATAGTAAGGTCATTGTGTATTATCCAGCAAGATTACAAAGGAAACAAATTTTGTAATACCAACCTTTTGACTTCCTGACGGCATATCAACATCTTCAGTTGGCATTGGTGGTGAAGAGCTCAAAGCATTCTGAATCATCATTGTGCTGTAATTGTTGTTGTCACTGTTGAATGAAATAACATTTCGACAAGTGCTTGGCAAGCAATTTTACTACAGACCTGAGAGCCAGGGGGCCATCAAATAAAATATCATAGTATATATATATATCTATATGAAGCAGAGATAGCATTTAGCCGGTAAAACCACAATACAATAATTTATTATTCAGAATAGATTTGATATTATTATTTTTGCATGTAAGGTATCAAATATATTCCAAATGCTCCATACTCAATAGAGAAATAGGACAATGGCTTACTGGTTAAAGCTCTACTCAACTATGACAGCATGGCAGAATAACATGCCCATCATGTCACCCAAGGTGTAATAGATTGGAATCTCATAACGGTATTGCTTTTTACCTGGAGGAACGTAACTGAAGAGGGAGAAAGCTCAAGTGATGTTCGTATCCCCATTCACCAGTATACAATTCATTTTTATAATATTTTTGCTCTAGCTTTTTCCACATCGCTTCTGCAGCATGACCTGTCGAGTAATAATGGCAAAATAGGAGGACATAACTACAGTGAGGCATGTAAAAAGAAGTTGTAAGGGATGAAAATATTATGGCACTGATCAAAGTATAAATGGGTATATTTGACCAAATTGACTTCAACAATGAGCATCAGGCATAACTGTCCAGTCCGCTTATCACAGAAATTTCCTATTAACAACATATCCAAAAAACATCATAATTTAAAACTTGAAATATTCGTTGTACAAGTTGTCGTTGTCAGTATGTACACTCACTTATATGTACAAGAGACACATTTACTAGCAAACTACAGGAGTACCAAGCCCATGAGCTCCTGAAGCGATCTAAAGATAACATGTCAATCAAATTGTTTCTTGCAAACCAGCCTTTGCAGGCACTATTGCTTCAAAAATACAATGTAAATGGACAATAATTTTACTGATGAGGCTGAATATAAAACACACCCTCTGTCTCTAACATTCATAAAGACTTTCAATGTCGAAACAGACACTCATATGAATGATAAACTCACCAGACTCCAGTCCAACCTCCTCTGCTACAGATTGCCACGAATTAGAAATCATATCATCATCTTGCATTACATTTTGCAAAGGATCATATAAAAATGGTCGGCCTTTTACTCGATCAATAAGAAGCATTGTAATGTCTCTTTTTGCATCATTTAACGATTTTACTGATGAATTCAATGCATCTCTGGATGAGCTACTTTTGGGCCCAATGCCCGAAAGTTTCCGTTCTTTGACAGATAAATTATATCGAATCAGGAATTTTTCTGTCCACAATTTTGATGCTTGAAATGTCTTCTTGTGATTTTTATTGAGACTGAGTTTTGTGCTTTCAAAAATAGCTCGAGCTTTTCCTCGTATGCTTGTGATACTGACTGCCTGATTTTCTGATTTTCTATGTTTAATCCATTCATATAATTTTCTCTCCGTAATTTTCAACAACTCATTGTGTTGACGCAACATTTCAGGTTTTTCTCCTAAATAAAATTTGCAAATCATTATAGTTGAAATCTGCTGTCGCTCTTTATTCAATTTAAGGTTGTGATCTGGAAACTGCAACATAGTTACCATGCTGTTGATTAGGTATAGAAGGTACATCCAACAAAAATTTACGATAAATTCATTCAACTAAATTCCTCAAATTTCACACCGGACATTCCCAATTTGGGGTTAAGATCAATTTAACAATGGATGCAGTTTTACATAAAAAAGCTGCAACCGCAAATTCCACTAACTTTTCTTGTTTATTTCGAGTAATATCACTAATAAAGCAAATATATACTGTATATTCTGCTATATATATATATAGGCCTACCTGAAAAAGGGACTTTCTTTGGATCCAAGCCTTTCTCTGAAAATTTTCATACAAGATTATAGCAGAACTCACAATAGCGATTTATTCAAAAGTTGAATTGAAAAAACAAAAAAATTACATACTTCTTGAATTTGGATGACGAGAATGGCCAGGTTTAACGCTAACACTGCATGATTTCATGAAATGTAATTCCATAGTTGCTCTACGGCCATAAACTTTTTTACAAAATGGACAGTGATAATGACTTCTTGATGCTGATGTTATACCTCTCTGAATACAAGATTTTCGACACGGAAGACAAAAGACTAAAAAAAAAATCATTTTCAGTAAAAGCCGGTAGCCTGCAAACAGATGTTGAAATGACATAGACTACAAATAACAACAATCAGACAATATCGCAATAGATTAATTCAGTGCTGGTAGGCTACGTAATTCTGTAATTTAATTTATTATCTATAATGTCAGAATGTCCAATTAGAATACCTTTTCTGCCATCTTTCAATGCATGAGCAACAGAGAATTTACAATGAAATGCATAGATATGTTGCTGCTTTTTAGCAGAATCTGGAGAATCCATTTTGAACTTATTACAAAAACCACATCCTTCGACTAATGATGCCTGTAGCCTTTTTGCAACATCTTTAATGTCGTCGGCAATCATTGTGTTTCCATCTTCACAAATAAATTCATCCGTCATTTTCAAGAATCGAATGCAGACAGTTGGGTAAAGAGAGCAATCGCTATATGCTAACAAATGAGGAAGTCTGTCAGTAGTAAGATCCAGTGAAATCACTTTGGTGAGACCCAAAGTGACTATACACTATAAGATCATAGTAGTTAACTGAATATAGTTCGCTCGCGCTTTTTTCGTCTTTGTTTATTTATTTATTTATGTTACATTGCTCTCTCGCTACGCTCGAGTACGGCGCCACGCTACGGTATGGACCTTTCCCCGACCTTTGACCCTCGGAAAATTCTCGCTATACTTTCCCATTGCAAAATTGTCAAGGCTATTTTAAGAGTGCTTTTGCGAGTTGGCGTCTGTAAAATGGGGTATGTGTTTCAAACCATCATTATGATTCATCGCATACAGCAATCTGTTTTTTAAAAGTACCGGTAAAGAATTTCAAGCTAGTCTATCACAGCTATTTCTACACTAATTTTTATTACTGCAATTAAATTAAAACTCCTAGAATAACAGAGTGATCATTGAATTATCTGATTTTTATTTAAGTTCCCAAAACACAACTAAAAACTAACGAATAGAGTTCAGAAACGCGAAAACGAGGTAATGTTTACAATCACGCTTGAAAATCTGTCTGAGTGAGAAAAGTGTCTGAGCGGATGCGAAAAGGGAGCATTGTTACGTCAGTTTTTGCATCTTGCTGATTGGCCAATGTCACAAAGTAAACAAGGAAGTCGATGCTCGGGGAAAGGTCCATTCTCTTAACGCCAATTTCAAATTGCGGGAACTACGGGAAATTTCACAAAAAGCGGGAATGACGGGAAATCGCTTTACGTGACGGGAAATATGCATTTTAAACTTTAGAGTATGTGTGGGGTAAATTTACTCTGAAAAGTGGAAGCAACGGTAAATTTGTACTCGAGTGTGCATGTACGGGGAAATAGCAGTGAAATGCATATTTCCCGTATCTTGGAGCGATTCCCCGTCACTCCCACTCTTTTGTGAAATTTCCCGCTTTCCAGTGCAATTTCCCGTGCCCACTACCCACACAACCCAAGCGTATATTACCCGTTGCTTTCGTTTTCTAGTGCAATTTCCCCTAAACATACTCTGAAATGAATATTTCTCGTAATTTGGGGCGATTTGCTGTCATTCCCGCTTTTTAGTGAAATTTTCACGTAACTCTCGCTACGCTCGGCGCTACGGTATTCTCTTGACGCCAATTTCAAATTGCGGGAACTACGGGAAATTTCACAAAAAGCGGGAATGACGGGAAATCGCTTTACGTGACGGGAAATATGCATTTTAGGGTATGTGTGGCGTAAATTTGCTCTGAAAAGCGAAAGCAACGGTAAATTTGTACTCGAGAGTGCATGTACGGGGAAATTGCAGTGAAATGCATGTTTCCCGTATCTTAGAGCGATTTCCCGTCACTCCCACTCTTTTGTGAAATTTCCCGCTTTCCAGTGCAATTTCCCGTGCCCACTACCCGCACAACCCAAGCATATATTTCCCGTTGCTTTCCCTTTCTAGTGCAATTTCCCCTAAACATCTCTATACTGTAAAATAAATTTTTCCCGTACCTTAAAGCGATTTCCGTCATTCCCGCTTTTTGTGAAATTCCCGTTTTATTAGTGAAATTTCCCATAGTTCCCGTCAGTCTCGAAGTTCCCGCATTTTAGTATTAGCATTTTCCCGTCGTTCACGTCTCCCGCATTTTAGGGTTTGCCACCATATTGTAAATCTGATCACTCATAATACGTTTTACGTTTGTATCATTTGTCTTATTTTTTATCTATCTTATTCCAGTACCTGTATTCGTTATTCTTAGGGCATTGGCTGACAAGCTCAGAGGTCCGTAGACCCATGGTTCCCAAACTGGGCGTCAGGAACATCGAGGCATGAAATAAATCCTTTTTGTAACACTCCTTGTGACATGGCTATGGATGGTTGAAATTTTTGTGAAAAAGTTTTGAAATATAGGGGGTAGCATATGATTTTCGAAGCGATACATAAATTTGGCAATTCCAGAAGATAGATATAGGCCGCGAGCCGAGGCCATTTATCTTTCAGTTTCGTAGCGCACATAAGGTAACTACCTGAAAATGATTTTAAAATGTTCCTTAGATATTTAGTAACAAATATTGCCTTGTTCCCACTTGTTCCCCAAAAGTTGCACGTTTTACAGAAAAGACGCTTTTACTACAATAAATATGTGTTACCATCTGTCCTATTTTCCCTGCTTTTCCGGTATCATGGGCCAATGAACGCAGTTTTCTGCATGACGTAACAATCAAATTAGTCAGCTGTAGGTGGATCCCCCGTGGTCGGATGAATATCAGATGTACTACTGCTCGCTTTTGCGTTGAGTTAGGTAGCCTTTCCATAGTTTTTTTCAGTTATTATTAGTTCAGTTATTCTAAGGAGGTGTTGAAACGTATAAGTAAGATATTAAACACTTGTATATCCTTACCATAAATAGTAATTTTAGTTGAGCACTAGCTCATAAGACGTTGTTAAATAGGTACGGTGCGGTAACTCCAAGGAAGGCTAGACCTAGAATAATATGTCACAAACAACGATATTTTCTGGCTTGCATGAAATGTTTATGATTAATTTAATGACTCTTCTTGACTATTCAACAGACTTATACTACTATATAGGCTAGGCCACAGCATATTTGGAAATATGAATTAATGGCTGTTTCTGTAATGCACGGTTGTGTGAAAGAGAAGAAAATAATCAATTTTACTAATGTCGGTTGGTCTAAATCTGAATTCATAAGGTCGACATGAACCTGGGAAGCAATGATAAGTTATGCCGTGGAAAGAAAGTAGCACTGGAAGCGATTGAGAGGTGAGAAATCAAGTTGTAGACAGACAGTTGATGTTTTAAAATATAGTCTATAGTCCAAACTCATAGGGCATTTCAGACTGTGATATATCAAAATTTAGTGTAGATATAGTCTGGTACTGGTATGCAAACACTGCTGGACTGTAGTACATGCAATGAGCATATATACGCTCATTGAGTACATCAGATAAAATGCATTATGTATTAGGCTTGCACGTAATTGACAAAAATCAATTCCGTAATTACGGCCAAATCGATTACGTAATGACCCCGTAATTGCGATATTTTTTTCACACATTTAAACCTAGCATACCAACCAATTTAATCCACTTCTATTCCGAATGGGACATCGAAGTTTGGTTTTCATATTCCCGGCAGTACCACACGCCGGAGACAGATGTTGAAGACAAATATCAAGGAGTGAATTCAAAATAATTTTATTCTGATTTTTATCTTTTGTATTAGCTTTGATTTTCCTTTATCAACTTTATCACCAAATTTTATGCGATCAATTTTATCATTACCAACACTGGTAATATATTTAAGAAACGATAGTTCACTTTTTTAAAATCGTATTGACGTATTAATACGACTTTCGTATTGAATAAAAATTCCGGGTTGCTAATTTATTAATCAACTACAAGCGTATTCTCTCGTTTGATTATACTTTCGCTTGCCTCGCGACGAAGACTTGTTATTTCACCGTTTTTTACAATATCCGACTTTACTACTTAGTTACCATTTTATAATAATTATTGATGCCGACTTATTGACGATATTCCGAATTCCATGCTTCATTTTACATTAAATCATTTCGCGGCCTGAATGTTATAACATTATTTACGATAAATTTAGATCAAATATTAATTATTTGCGCATTATTTAAAATACCGTACTTATATGACATGCCTTCTCCGAAAATACAAAGTTATATCGCAAAACAATGCATTTTGTGACATTTATTTTGCACTCATGAAAATATTAATTTATTTTTCTAACTCAAGTCGACAATCCTATTTGCCAAGATTGACACAAGTTTGGTCGAGTGCCGGTGGTATTCAGGTCGACGATAAATCAAAATAAGTTGCCGCATTTGGTTAAAGACAGGTAATCATATTTGGCCGACATATTGCGATTTGCGAGGCATTGTGAAAAACATATTGAGCAATGCCAAGTCCGGACAGATATATAACGATAAAACCGGTAACAGAACATCAAATTTTGTAATAGAAAATGGATTTCGCGCAGAATAAACACGGGAAATCCCGTCGTAATGTTGTTTCTCTGCCGTCTCAATCGCTTTACGATGCCGAAAGGACTAAGTTGCGTTGGTTCATTACGCAATTTCTCTTCCGTCTCTTGCTGTTTGATAAGCGCGACATTAATTATCACGACATTTACAAATAGACCATGTTTTATAAGTTGATCTCTTACATTCTTCACTCATTTCACCCGAAGAAGTTGAAACCAGGTGTGTTGGCGTCCATCGGTCTCGACACAATTCTATTCCTTTATTTACGGTTAATATGTACATTGGCCATCTTAGATAAGTTGATAATAGGTTAGTAAATGACGCGTTATGCCCTCCCCATCTGCCTAACAAGAGAGAGAAAAACGGCTGCGAATACCGGAACTCTAACTTCTTTTACTTAAACTTTAATTTTTTACAATCGACGGAATTGACTGCTCTGAAGAGAGCTCGTTTCAATCGCGAAAGCGCTCGACCAATAATTACGACTTTACGTAATTCGTGACTTCGCTTGCGTAATTCGAAATAATTCCGTAATTCCGTAAATTTGTAAATTACGTGCAAGCCTATTATGTATTCAATGTATTAGTTAGTATTTAGTGGTATTTTTACACTCATGCTGTTCAAAATATGATTTTCTTCCTCATTTTAGATATTGTAATACAAAAGAATACGGCAATGTTCCACCAATCCGACCTAACGCAGGCTCTAATCCCTGCTGCTATCAGTGCTATAAAATGGATTAAACAAGAAGTCTTGAAGCGTAAAAGTATATGAGAATCATAATAGTTTCAAACAGCTTAGAGGGGTTTTCATATTGAAATACTTTAGCACTTTTCTGCAATTGGAACTGCCCATCAGCCCATCAAACTCATGTTGGAGACTTCATTGAGATTTTCAATTCATTTTTTTTCTCAACTATGAAGATCTTTTGAGGTGAACGAGGCATTAATAAATGAAGTTGACGAATTTGTTTGTTCACTGTATGAAGAGGATATGAAGAATGTAAATGATACCAGGGCACGTCTATTTAACACTGGCAAATATAAGGATTATACTCTCCTCCACCCAACAATGATTCACTGAAAAAGCATGTGGCCCTCAAATCAGTTCTTGAGTTGGCAAGCTGCAAGTGTAAG